CGATTCCGTTGCTACATGTATTTCCATTGTACACCATGAAAAGTTGTCAACAAGATTAGTCAAGCGCTTGGCACCTTTATGTTACTTTATGTATGAAGGCAAATTTGGTTTAGCACGACTAATTAAATCAAAACCAGTATTGATTAAATAATCAATAAAACAAGTAATAACTTGACTTATTTGGTTGTAATGTTCGTTAAATATCATAAAAACTCCGCCTTAATTTTTTCCATCTTTTTCGGAACCTTTGTTGTTCAGTCTTTAGTTTTCTGTGTTATTTTTTATGTACAGTAACTGTTGTTTGTTTTTTCGTCGTTTTTCGTTTTTTACCATGACATTGTCCGTTTGTTTTCGACTTTGAATATCCCTTTGGTATCTTTCGCTACGCTACGCGGGTTATTCAGTGTGCACCACATTTTTGATGTTATTTCTTCATAGACAGAAAAATATTACAGTTATTCCTTAAATGTTAAAGTGCCTTTTAGAAAATTAAAGCTATTTCAATGTCTTGCCCTGTTTTGTTGCATTATACTTTTCCATCTTAATTAATACGGGTGAGCAGAATCTGCCTACCTTTCCGTAGCACCTGAGATCAACCCCGGTTTTTGGGGAGGTTAGTGTGGCTCTGTTTTTTGGTTTTCCATGTTGTGTTTTGTGTACTGTTGTTTGTCTTTTGATCGAAGAAAATAAAAACTTAAAACTGAGGGAATCGCATGAACTCCAAAAGTAGCGAAACTGGGTGCGTCGACAGGGTAAGCGTCTCCTATTATGCATGCATCAACCATCAACCATCATGCTAATCCACTCTCAGTCAAAATGTCACAATCGGACACATTGATGGAAATGGAAAACCGAAACTACACAAGTTTTACAGTGACCGATACGATACGTATTTATGTCAATTCACTAGCGACATGTTTTCTTGGTCTTAGATCTTTAGATTGCAGAATAGTCGTTTGATCTGTATGTTACCGATTGTGTCATATTCCCGACTGTGGCATTTTGACTGGTTGTGGATTTGCATGATAGGTGCTACATGTGGAGCAGGATATGCATGCTCACTTTGGTCTATGTGCAAATCAAACAAAGGACACTCTCCAACACTGTAGACGAGAATAGACTTCATGACAAAAATCTCTATTTTGTTGATCTTGTATTACTGATCTTTTAGTCTGTTTAGTCTCTCTCTATCTTCTTTAGTTTTTGCTCAAAACACAAAAGAGGGTTAAAAAAATTCTCATTTAAGAGCAATCACTCCTATAAAGAGTGACAGTCTACTTTTAACTATATCAGCAAAATTTGACTTTTTAATAGAACTTGCCTTGCTGATCAGTTTTGTGATTTAAAGTGTTTATTTATCTATTATAATTTAAATCATATAAGGCATAACGGAAAAAAAAATGTTTCTCTCTAAATATTATAAATTTTATGATAATAGGCAAAAAATATATAGGGTCTTTGCATCGGCACTAAACACATTTATTTAAAAACCAGTTGTTGGCATGACACGGGTTATGTTCTTCTCATATATGTTATGATGGTATGATACTAAACCCCTAACGGGAAGGATTGTGCCTGATATTCATATGATGAAGACATAATCTTTCAATCAGTTTAATTGAAGTCTGGAGCTGGCATGTCAGTTAACTGCTAGTAGTCTGTTGTTATTTATGTATTATTGTCATTTTGTTTATTTTCTTTGGTTACATCTTCTGACATCAGACTCGGACTTCTCTTGAACTGAATTTTAATGTGCGTATTGTTATGCGTTTACTTTTCTACATTGGCTAGAGGTATAGGGGGAGGGTTGAGATCTCATAAACATGTTTAACCCCGCCGCATTTTTGCGCCTGTCCCAAGTCAGGAGCCTCTAGCCTTTGTCAGTCTTGTATTATTTTTAATTTTAGTTTCTTGTGTACAATTTGGAGTTTAGTATGGCGTTCATTATCACTGAACTAGTATATATATTTGTTTAGGGGCCAGCTGAAGGACGCCTCCGGGTGCGGGAATTTCTCGCTGCATTGAAGACCTGTTGGTGACCTTCTGCTGTTGTCTGTTCTATGGTCGGGTTGTTGTCTCTTTGACACATTCCCCATTTCCATTCTCAATTTTAAAAATCAAAAAAATGGTAAAATTTGTCATTTATGGGAAATAACTCCTATAAGAATTTGTCTAACAGATTTGACGTATATGGACAATTGGTAGAGCTCATTTTTCTGAACATTTTTGCCCCTTTCAGATTTTCTCTATTTATAAATAAACTCATCATAGATACCAGGATTGAAATTTTATATTTACGCCAGACGCGCGTTTCGTCTACAAAAGACTCATCAGTGATGCTCGAATCAAAAAATGATAAAATGCCAAATAAAGTACGAAGATGAAGAGCATTGAGGACCAAACATTCCTAAAAGTTTTGCCAAATACAGCTAAGGGAGGTAGAAAAGCCTTAGTATTTCAAAAATTCAAAGTTTTGTTAACACTAAATTTATAATTATGAACATATCAATGATAACTCAAGTCAACACAGAAGTGCTGACTACTGGGCTGGTGATACCCTCGGGGAATTAAAACTCCACCAGCAGTGGCATCGACCCAGTGGTTGTAAATAAACTCATCAAAGATACCAGGATTGAAATTTTATATTTAACAGTTCAACAGTTCAAAAAATAATAGACAAAACTTTTTACCCCTATGTTCTATTTGTAGCCATGTTGGTTGGAAGGCTGGATCATCGGACACTATTTTTTAACTAGATACCCTTATGATGATTGTGGCCAAGTTTGGTTAAATTTGTCTCAGTAGTTTCAGAGGAGAAGATTTTTGTAAAAGATTACAAAAATTTACAAAAAATTGTTAAAAATTGACTATAAAGGGCAATAACTCCTTAAGGGGTCAATTGACCATTTTAGTCATGTTGACTTATTTGTAGATCCTACTTTGCTGAACATTATTGCTGTTTACAGTTTACAGTTTATCTCTATCTATAATAATATTGAAGATAATAACCAAAAACTGCAAAATTTCCTTAAAATTACCAATTCAGGGGCAGCAACCCAACTACAGGTTGTCTGATTTGTCTGAAAATTTCAGGGCAGATAGATCTTAATCTGATAAACATTTTACCACATGTCAGATTTGCTCTAAATGCTTTAGTTTAAGAGATAAAAGCTGCATTTTACTCCTATGTTCTATTTTTAGCCGTGTTGGCCATGTTGGTTGACAGGCGGGATCATCGGACACATTTTTCAAACAAGATACCCTAATGATGATTGTGGCTACGTTTGGTTAAATTTGGTCCAGTAGTTTCAGAGGAGAAGATTTTTGTAAAAGTTTACGACGATGGAGGACGATGCCGGACGCCTGACGCCAAGTGATGAGAAAAGCTCACTTGGCCTTTTAGGCCAGGTGAGCTAAAAAGGGGAAGTCCATAAAAGCTGACAAAATCAAAAGTTATCAATCAACGGAATGAGTGATTAAAGGGCTTTACACATTTTCATATTTTCATACACTAAAGCTCTTTTACAATCATGAAGTTACTATACATATGCGCCTCAGCAACAAAACTATGTTATAGCTAAATTGATAAATAAATTTTAAAGACCAGTAGCAACTAAAAAAGTACCCTAGAATGTGGATCAAATACCATTTTGTCAAATCTAAGATTATTCGGGTGGAACTCCATAGAAAGTTACATATATACCGTAATAAAGGTCAACTACCTTTTGTTTGGTTATAAAATCAACAAAACCAAACAAAAGGTATGATAACACAATTGATTTGTTGTGTATTTCTTTTAAACAATAATTGCAAATTTAAAAAATCGCATCCGTGTTTTCTCAATAATATTTTTACATTGTGGTGTACTACTTTTGGGACAAATTATATCAAAATTATACAAAACTTCATCGGATTTCCGCTTTAACTCAAAATATGGACAATTGTATTTGAGGGGGCTTCAATTCAGTCGGACAGCTTCAGACATACTAATTTTTTACCTCTTTCCACTGGACCAAATCACTACTTTATTTCAAATTCATGACCCAAATGTTTTTAATGTAATTTCATCCCCTTATTGCTATTTGATGCATAAAACATGAAAAAAATAAATTGGGAAGGTTTAGGTAATACATTGTCAACACTAGGGACTATATTTGTAGACAATGAGAATTAAAGGGTGATAATTGTGTATCAGGCAAGATGTAATTGACCTTTATTTAGGTAGCCTCACTGGAGTTCCACTTGAATAATTTTGGGTTTGCATTCAATAGCTATCAATTTTACACAGCCTTTTAGCACTTAGAACTTGCAAATAATTATAACATACCCTTTTACATCATTGCAGTTGATTACAAGCCTGAATGGAATATGGATAATGGGTGTGTAGATGATAAAGAAGTGCTTAATATGGAAACTGCTCATGTCAACTATAAAGATGAAACAAAACAACCTTCCCTGTATATAGCCAGAATACAACATCTTTTTTTTTACTAAAATAACTGACTTAAGGATGTTCGCTCCTCTTGTCTTTGAATTTTTGCCAGATATTCGGAATCCTCTAGTTTTATCCATGTAGTGCCATTAAAAATTTTTTGCCCACTAACCCCTACTTTTTTTCCCATAATTTGATTACATATAGTTTAAAATGCCATCTTTGAAAATCTTATAAAATCCTTGTTATTTTTTCATAGTTTTTGAATGAAAAAAGGTACCAATGTTAAATGTAAGAAAAATCTAGAGAGAATCATTTCCAGCCAAATTTTATTGGCTTATATCTCGAAAACAAGCACACGGACCCTTCATTTTTTTCTGCTTTTTTAGTTCCTTTATTTATATACTATCAACTTATAACAGTCTTTTAAAAAGCTTGTTATTCTGAAACAGAGTAGCGAACATCCTTAATTTAAAATAACAATCTGAAACATCAATTATGCTAATAATGTATACACATTTTATTTTGGAACATAAACATAATAAAATGTATGAAAATACTTCTTCATAATAACTAATGTCACTGTTAGCGACTAAACTGAAGAAATGCAAGTCTTAACAATGGTTCTATGAGTTCATTTCTGTCACTTGCTTTAAGATAATTGTATGGTTTGCTGAAGAATATTACTGGTTTACTAGCAAAATTGGTTTCTTTCTTCTTTATTCTATCAAACTGTACTTGATCACATCGTAATTGGACAAATGTAATCTGTCAAAGTAAAAGGCAAATTACATAAAAACATCATTCAATTTCATTTATTGTCAATCATATGTTCTTAAAGATGTTCCAATTCTTACATATACTAAGACTTTAAGGATGTTCGCTCCTGTTGTTTTTGAATTTTTGTCAGATATTTCGGAATCCTCTGATGTTATCCATGTAGTGCCAATAAAAAAAAATTACCCGCTAACCCCTACTTTTCTTTTCACAATTTTATAACATATATATAGTTTAAACAGCCATACTTAGTTTGTAGTTATGACAAATTTTGTATACACATGCCTAAGCCTTATTGAAAATTTATACTTTGTTGACCATTTAAATTTAAGACTTATCTGTAGGTTACAATACACCATTAGATTTTATGGGCGCAGCCATTTTATGAGCATAACATGGTATTCAGAATTAAGAGTATAGCTAATCCTGATTGGTTGATATGTGCGCCCGTTATTTTTTGTAATTAGAGACTTCGTGCATTCTGCATTATACCAAAGGCCAAATAAATTATTTTCCTTAGCCCTAACGGAACTGAGATGTCTTTTAAACGCTAGGATGAGACACGTATTTTTAAGTGCAAAATTGATAGGCATGGGAGATAAGTACAAATTACGCTAAGAAAAGCAACGCGAACCTATATTTTTTGGACCAAAAAATACTGTCCTAATAACTTTTCTTTAATTCTGGCAAGGTTTCGTTAAAAAAATCAGCTTTCTAAAGTCTGTATCTCGAAAAAGGCTATCATTGTCGCCTATGGGGAAATTAATTGTTTATTATAATCTATACAGCGTCGACATTTCTTTATCATAGTGCTCAAAAAGTGTCAAAAACAGTAATTTTACTTGATATTTGATGTGAAACCGTATTTTTTGGTGACAAATGAATTATTGATTAACTAGTTTTTAAGCTATAGTCTGTTTCATATTTGTATAGCGTTTTACCTTAGAAACAAGGGTGTGTTCGACTTTTGACTTACTGTGGAGAGAATATGTCATTTTCTGAACTTCTGCTGATTTGTTTGTAAAAAGCACATACACGTCTAGAGTTTGGATATACAAATCGATTTTTAAACATGACAATCTCGATCCAAGTGCTGTTATCGAAATTACCAAATTCAGTGAAAATGTACAGAAACGATCCCCTTCGAACATTGAAATGTTCACTCGAATGGCAGACTATAAAAATTAGAATAGGCATGACATTTCGTTGTTAACGAATAGTTTTCGATGTTTCAACACAAATATTTACACATTTTTCATATTTTGTAATGCTATAGTCTGTTTCAAAAATGTACTTTTATACGAAAATGGTTTCATTTAAAACTGTTGTTCAAAATTCACCGTAGTAGTTACATATTGGATCGGTTTTGGTATCAATATAATCAGTACTTGATGACATATAAAGAATCATTGGAGAAAGTGGACATTATCTTCAGGCCCTTTTTAGCAGTACCGCATTTACTGAAAAAATCAGAAATTTTTTTTTCACATTTTTTGACTGGGGTTACCTCTGATAAAAAATTGTGAAAATTCAGAGAGTAATGCCAGAACGTTTTGAAGATGATTTTTGTGTGGCATATATATTTATGCATCTAACGAACTATGAATTGCATGATTCTAGAAAGTATTAAATAGCGTATAGGTTACAATACACCATTAGATTTTATGGGCGCAGCCATTTTATGAGCATAACATGGTATTCAGAATTAAGAGTATAGCTAATCCTGATTGGTTGATATGTGCGCCCGTTATTTTTTGTAATTAGAGACTTCGTGCATTCTGCATTATACCAAAGGCCAAATAAATTATTTTCCTTAGCCCTAACGGAACTGAGATGTCTTTTAAACGCTAGGATGAGACACGTATTTTTAAGTGCAAAATTGATAGGCATGGGAGATAAGTACAAATTACGCTAAGAAAAGCAACGCGAACCTATATTTTTTGGACCAAAAAATACTGTCCTAATAACTTTTCTTTAATTCTGGCAAGGTTTCGTTAAAAAAATCAGCTTTCTAAAGTCTGTATCTCGAAAAAGGCTATCATTGTCGCCTATGGGGAAATTAATTGTTTATTATAATCTATACCCTCAAAAACCACAAAACTAGTTAAGGATCTACAGTTTTCTGTTTAGATCCCTTTTTCACATGTTATATCCAATGTATAACATTGTATAAAAATTTGGCATTCCATACTTTTGGATCTGAGTGCTACTCAGAAGTAAATCTTAAATAGTACACTTAAACATCTTGACTCTATTTTATCCCAATGTTTAGAAAACCATTTTGCACAGATACTATAGTCAAGAGGCTTGATAGACGGTCCTTCATTTCTGTATTCTTTAGTTTTGTAGGTCATTGTCTCTATTCTTTAGATTTTTTGTCCATAATTCTCTATTCTTTATATTTTAGCACACAATTTTCTCTATTCTTTATATTTTTGTACCCCATTATTCTCTATTCTTCATTATTTTGCCCTACTTTTTCTCTATTCTTTGTTTTTTGTGCCCATTTTTCTGAAGATTTGGCAAATTATTAACTTTTCTGTAAACACCAAATACAATAGCTACTTGGAAGGAGCAAGTAACCATCTAATATTATTCCTGGAGGATGACTGACAAAATTAGATTCAAATATTATAGCAAAGCAGTTTCAAAGAAGAAAGTTTCTTAACAGAGACTGAGATGACAGATGGACAACACATGCCATGCAATAGCTCACAATTCCACTTAAAAAAACTGTGGCAAGGTAAACTATAAAATGCTGCATACTACTTTACTTACAAATGTTTTCTGAACAATTATTCCCAGGATGCCATTATACTTTGACAGAGGTATATTAGCTAATAAGTCTCCACCAATTTGACCAATCAGCATGTCACAGATATGTGTTACACCTACTTCAGACCTCTTTCTTTTATGTCCACAATTCACAGGTTTAACAACTTCATTTGTACCGTGTGCAGTTTGAAAATCATTGGTTACCTAATGCAAAAAATACTTGAAATAATTATCAAACGTTTACATATTAGCAGTTGATATTACTTTGTTTTTTTCTCACTGCAGTATAGTTAAAATCAGGCAATTGGTTTTGTCTTTCAAATTGTTTCACAAAATGTCATAACTGTGTTTTTATAGCTAATTATAAGATATTGGTTTTCGCTCATTGTTGAAGGTTCTACAGTGACATATAAATCTTCACATCTTTGTCCTTAGTCTTTGAATAGTTTTCAAATTAGCAATCATACCATGGCTCCTCATTTTTATATTTCTTATATAAATAAGGTTCAAATGACTTGTTAAATAAGATTCACTCCTATGCATGTCTTACTTGTACAAGTAGTATCAGCATTACTTGTATGTTTTCAGCCAACACTATTAATATTTCAATATTGACATCCCCTCTTGATTTCATCCATTCAAAGAGGGGGAATAAATCAGTTCTATGTAAACAAAAATATCTTGAGAGTTTGATGGAATGAATCTAATTCATTGAATTTTCATTTATCTCTTGAAATTTAGCGAAGCATTATTTCACTGGCATTAGCAGGATTGTGAAGGTGAGAATCAGGTTTGTATGAGGGTATATCAAATTGTTTTGACTTGTTTTCAATACATGTGTAAATTTAGAAATCAGCATGGTGTACATACACAAAATTTCCGGTTATTCTCTCTATTCACACAGCTGCACAAGTACACACACATCTTAATTACCCAAAACCACAAATTTCATTTTTATATTTTTTTTAATGAATTCTTAGAAAAATTAATCAATAAATGTTTTAAGATTTATTATAAAATAACTGGTTCCTGCCACCTTGGGCAAGTTAAATTATGATACTCATGGTAAAGAGAGACATCTCATGTTAATTTAATTCTTATTTCAACAAGTAAGATTGATTCTGTCTTGCATAAGTGGGTCCCCCGTCTGTTTTCTGTACTTCCTCAATACTTTTTTGGTATATTTGCTATCAAGCAGATAATTTTGTCTTGTTTACATAATCTTTTACATTATAACTTATGAAGATTTTAAGAGATTTTATATAGCCAACTTTAAATAACTCCATCAAAATGCTTCAAATTTGAGTTGCAACTGATATTTAAAATACATTTTAATATATTTTACCTACTCTAAAATCTATATATTGCAAAAATTGTTAAGTTTCATTTCTGGTTTAGATGATGACTTAAATTGCTCAAATACAATTCAACTCTGAAACTATAGCTATTTTGAAAATAATACTCATGTGTCTATGATGTCCAGTTTGTTTAATTGAATAAAACTTATCTATTATTTGTTTTAATATTATATCGTGTTACTGTGGGATAATTCAATTTTATGAATACCAATTTCCGTGTATTGAGAAACACTTGTCGTTTTGTGGTTTTGGATTTCCTGAATTATCCAAAGTCTGTATACAAGCCTGTAGAAAATGTCTACTATGTAAATTAAACATTTAAATTTGTGGTTAATCTATAAAAACAAAATCTATTAAAATTGGTATCCAACAAATAATAATAAATCCACAGTATACAAATTACAATTGAATAATTTCTTAAATCTACCAACATGAAATTAAAAAAAATATGTTAGAAATCATGTCAGTACTGAACTACATAAATGATTTGTTTGTTTAATATATAAATGTATTTACCTTACACAATGCAATAACATTCATATCTTCATTGTTTTCATCTGAGTTGACCAGATCAGGAAAAATAATGTCTCTTGTTGATGTCACATCTGTATCACCAATTTGTATTGGATGAGAATCTGACTCAGTTCTGAATATCAACAATTTAAAGCAGTTATTGGTCGAAATCCAAGCATGTGACAAAGTATTATTTTCAATATGCTTATAAATATCATCATACCTTTCTGTAATTAAACAATGGTTAAAAATGAAAATAAAACAAATTTTGGCATTATTTAATATTTATGTAAACATTAAGATGTTTCCAAATAAGAAGATGTGGTATGAGTGGCAATGAGACAACTCTCAATCCAAGTCACCATGAATAAAAAGTTCTTTATTTTCTGATGTTGGTGTACATTCCTGTGATTTGAATCACATTCTATAATTTTTTTTATTTTAAGATCTTCATTTAATTTTTAAATACTTACATAGTGTTTAACCCAAATAGACCTGCAAAAAGTTCAAACAGCTTTCCATACATTGCTTTTGTGAGTGAAGCTTTCTTTTTTGCCATATTCATAAATATTAGCTGGTGTGCAAATAACTCTCCATGTACTTGAAATCTGAAATGAATGGAATATTTTGTTATAAATATAATAATCCTCACAGTTATCATATTGATGCTTCCCCATTTTCATTAACAGTTTATAAATGATACTTGAAGAAAAATTGGAAATTACATCGGCTCATCATAACAGATAATTTCGCTTAATGTAAAAAAATATGCATTGGCCATTTTGCTGCATTTATTACACAAATTATCAAAAGTGAAGTGAAGTCTGTAATAAGAACTAACATGATTAAGCTAGATATTTTATAAAAATATGCATATCTTAGTGTTTCTGTTATATTGAGACTTTGGTATTGTATATGTTTTAGGTAGATCTTGATTGATTCTTTTTAATGTATTACATGTACCAAAGAATATTTAAAGCTAAGCTTGGCATATTTGAATAGCCAACTGTCTATCCTGCCTATTGGTTAATTTTGCTGTCTCATTGATTTTTACCCATGTCTATTTATATTAGTAGAATAAGAAGTTGTTTTAAAAAATGCCACCTATGAAAACATGTAAAATAATTGATTTAATTTCAAATTCAACAGAAAACCAAGTTGTAAATGATTCAACGGTGATATTTCTTAAACTACAAACACAAGTACCACTGAGACATTTCATGAAAACTGAAAAGAATCTGCATGTTCTTGTATTAGTAACACATGTGATATTACCCAAGGAACAGGTAAAACTGGCATACTACACTTTAAGGTAGGGTAGTTCACAATATCAAATGTCTTTCTAACTAATCAGAATTCTTTATATAATTCAGATTTGATCAAAATCTAATATTTTGTCACTTAGCAATGGGAAAAGGTAGGTCATCTTACTGACACAAAATAAGAGGAATTATTGTATTATAAGAGTCTAAAAAGTTAGTTTCTATAATACACAGTAGAACCAGGATTATTTTTCCCACTGTATAATGATTTAATACATTGTTTAATGCCAAAAATGATCTAATAGAAGTACATGCTCCAATTTCACACCACCTTTCAGGGTGACAGTAGTTCTCTTTGAGGCATTTACAATCATATGATAGTTGTCTCCCACTCAATGATAGATAAAAAAAAATCCCCCTTATACTTATAAAATATATATACATTGTGTGTATGCCTTCTAACAATAAGCAGTGATTGAAGGGAAATAACTCTAGCTTCTTAACTGAATTACATATTATTGTATAAATACATACATATAAACAATTAATATTACAGTAGTAGGTAATATTTTTAACTAAAGTAATTTAATTGTTTGGGCTAGTTAATTTATTTATATGCACATGGGCTAGCATATGGCAAATGAAAGAACACTCAGTCTGTTACATTTTTACAGGCAAATGAAAGATTCCTTTCTTCTTTTTTTATTTGTTACATTGTAGTTTAAAGTATTAGGTATCAATTCAAACACAATATGACAATGTATGATTTATATCCATTTAAAAAAATAAAGAACAGATGTATGGGAATTGAATTTATGCTTGGTAAAAGAATTTTAAAAACATATACATGTACATGTAATACAAAAAAATCATGGATTATGGTCAATCATTTTCATCTACCATTGTCTACATATGTGATATAGAAATGCAGAGGATAGATTACAACACTTAACTTTGTCATTGTGATTTAGTGACAAATTACAAACAATATACAATAACCACAAATAGTTAACCTGAGTATGTATGACAAGGATCTGTTACTTTTTTTAATCTGCAACAAAGTTTTTGACAAACTAGCCCCACAGGTAAAATTTTAAAACCTTTCCTATTTGTCCAAGTTGTGAGTGTTTTAAAGTATGTATGTATATGGTTAACTATATTCTCTGACTATACTCTGTACTTATGGATGACATAAATTCATTTGACATTTCTCTTTAGTGTAGTGTCCCATATATTTCATACAGACATGATAGAACATCTTGAGGGGGGGGGGGGGGGGGGGGGGGGGTTCAACCTTTTTGTAGTAGGGGCGAGGAGCTGAGATACAATGCATTAAGTACCCTGACTTCTTGATATATTTTTTTAACAACACAAAAACATACACTATCATATATTTTTTGACAAAAACTATCTACAGCCATCATGCTTTCTCTATATATTTCATGAGTGGATAAATAGATTTAACAAATATCTGATGAATTTATGACTAACTTTTATATCATCTGAGAAAGATCCATATAAGAATATATAAGAATATTTTATTTTCCAATTAAAGGGCCCTATAAAGAGCTTTCATCACATTACATACAAATACATATAAGATTAGACATAAATTTAGAGACAAATAAGAAAACAACACCATTTAACACTATTAAAATGCTATAAAAGGCCAGGACAGAACCAGATAATACAAATAACATCTATAAAATATACCATTCAAAATCATATACCACTCACAATCTGTATATTTGTGGCTAATTTGCATTTACAGTATCTTTGAACTTATCCTTATCTCTAGATTTTTTGATAAATACTTTCCCAAACATTTATATACATTTAAATTTTCTTGTGAAAATAGCCATGAAAACTTTTAAAAATTGTCTGAAGATTGAAAATTATTGCAGGTTAAAGAAATTTCAGTAAAAACCTCATTTCTGTTATCAACATATAGTGGGCATTCAGTCACAAAGTGTATACAGCTCATCCTCAACTTTATTTAATGTACAGTATACATATGATTCCATTTCAATTTGCAACCTTGTCATATATTTCATCTTTATTTCTCGACCTTTAATAGTATCATATATCATTAAGCTTGTAAAAGTTACCTATTTCAGTGACCCCCACCCCTTGAGGGTTACCTATTCCAATTTTAAGTGGCATCTTTATTTTCTTAAGAAATTATAGCATAACATACATAAAAATATCTATAAGAAAAATATTTCAAATTAGAGTGATATAGCATCACATAACCATGATGTCTGTATATGCCTACTAGGGCCATAGGGACTTGACTACAGGTCAGATATATATAGTAGGGGCATACCTTTTTTTTAAATGCACGTAGACGATTAACGGGCTATATATCTAACCTGTAGTCAAGTCCCTATGACTAGGGCTTGTGAACATTAAAATTCATTCAAACTATTTTATTATATTAATATTTCTAACTGGAATATTCAAATTACTTTTGACACATTCTTGTTTGGAGCTTGTCTAGCTTATCTGCAAAAGTATGTGGTGAAATATTCCACAAATCAACCTTGTGCGACCACTGTCCATTTAAAGATTTATCCATCAGCAATCTGAAACTTTCAAAAGTATCTGAATTTTCTAAGTCATCAATGTCTAATTTATGAAGTGGGCATCTTGAGTTGATAATTAAATTTTTACACTTGTCAATTGTTTCTTTCGATGCAGAACTATCTATCGCATTGTCACTGAAAGTAAACGAAAACAATTGCATTGGAGTGTAAACTTCTGTTGTGACTGGCTCTATCTGCAGAGTGTGAAGAGTGTGTGATGTCCAGTTTGAAGTGCACTTATCCACTGTTCGTGAAAGCACATTAACGTTTTGTGATGGGAAGTGTTCATTTGAGTTTGGTATGGAAGCTGAAGAAAGTGGGGCATTGGCATCTGCTGTTGTATTTGATGTTGGAAATTTGAAGTCTGTATATTCCGCCATTCTGGCCTTGTATTATTTTTAGAAACGCACGTGTTACTTTATTTACATTGAAATGTTGTCGACAATTGGTCACAAAAATATTGGCCAATGAAATTGCATTTGACATCTGACGGGAGCACTAAGGGCAAAGTCCATCATAACATTACAGACCGGAGTTGGAGAGTCATGTCAAACGTTAGACAGAGGAAAACTGTTAATTCAGAGGCGAAAGAAAATAAAGCCAAGGAACAAAAGAATGGTTCTCCGAAGATAACTAAAAAGGAAACGGAAAATAAAGGGTAAGATTAGCGAGTGAAATTGAAAAACAATGAAGTCTGTAAAAAATTGAAGCGACATGACCAGCATATCCATGATATCGATCGGTCAACAATAGCCCTTGGCGAAATGTAAATATGTCGGTACACACATTGTTATGTAATTTAAATACTGTTACAAATAAAGATTAACATGATTACGATTAAATCTGACGATACACACAGGTTAAAACTCAGGGAATTATAAAAAAAACTAATAAATTATTAGGTTTCTCAATAAGGCTCTCTTTGCACGTTAACAGGTTAACAGGGACTTTCTATACTAATAGTATAGAAAGTAAGTCCCTGAGGTTAAGAACCTTGCAACAACTCTTTGAGGGGTCCGTAGGTGGCCTGTTGCAAGGCAAAATTTCTGTCCCTATCCAATATGAATCCGGGTCCGTTCGCGCCCAATCACGTTCGCCCCCATGCACGTTCGCCCCCCTTTCACTTTTGCACCCTACACGTTTGCACCCAGAGTCCGTTCGCACCCTACACGTTCGCGCCCAATTTTTATTGGTTTTGTGTTTAATAATTTGTAAACGAGTTTTGGTAAGTGTATTGCTATAAATATATATTTTTTCATTGTTTCTAAATAAAGTGAGATTCTGACAAGGTTTTTTTTGTGTCATGGTAAATATATTGCTATAAACATTTTTTTTCATTGTTTTTAAATAAAGTGAGATTCTGACGACCAGTATTTTATTTTTGTGTTGAATAATTTTTAATCATGTTTTGGCTAGCGTATTGTTATAAATATTTGTTTTCATTGTTTCTAAATAAAGTGAGATTCTGACAACGTTTTTTGCATGTGTTGATAAAATCTTAATCATGTTTTGGTTAGTGTATTGCTTTAAATATTTCTTTTTTATTGTTTCAAAAGGAATTGGGATTATGAAAACGTTTTTTATATGTGCTGAATAATTCGTAATCATGTTTTGGATAGTGTATTGCTATAAATATTTTTTTTCATTGTTTATGAATGAAGTGGGATTCTGACACACATGGGATCAAAGGAGCCAAGCTGTTAAAAACAATTATCTTTCATGTTTTTTATTTAATATCTTCAAAGTTTTACTCATACCAAGCTAAATACATGCAGTATTTACATAGTTAAAACAACCATGACAACAATCATGATTTTTAAACACTCAACAATAACACCAAATTAGGCTGTGTATAAATACCAATTAACAGTAATCATACATAATTAACATTTAATAATTAATCATCAAATCAATTTAAAAGAATAGTTCATTTAAAAATTCCCGAATTTTTATTTATGAAAATAAAAATATTTTGATATAAAAATCTACAAAATATCTAAAAATTTATCAGGTTTTTTAATAAAAAAAAAAAGGGTGTGAACGTGTAGGGTGCGAACGGACCTAGGGGGCGAACGTGTGGGATGCGAACGTGTAGGGTGCGAACGTGTATTGGGCGCGAACGGACCTGATACCATCCAATATACCCTCATTTTCCAGTGGCAGTCCAAATTTCCCCGACCATCATCCCGGATGGCCACTATTACAAGACCTACCTATTGTATTTATTGTTAACTTGTTCTCGTCCAGAACATGCATGAAATATTTGCCACTGGACGTTAAGCAACCAACAATCAATCATTAAGGCTGTCATAAAAATTTGTTTGAATTAATTATTGCATCCAGTGTAAGACATTTCTGACATAAAATAAATACAAATAATTTATAAATATTCTGGTTAAATCATACATGTAAGTCAACAGTACATGTACATTACGTCTAAATTCTTATTTGGTATGATATATAGTAAATGTACATTTTCACAGTTTTAAACTTTTTTCTCTTTCCTGTTTTAAAGAATGCAACATTTATATTTAGTACATTTTGGATGCTCGTTTGTATGAAAATTCTTGATCATACTTTTAAACATTTAATACTTATAAATTAATGAATCCGGGTCCATCCATCCTGATTCACATTTGACCTACTACCTGTTCACCCAGGGTCCATTCACAGTGATTTTTATTTTTTTTTTATTATTATCTAGTTGCATAATGTTTATTATTTGAACAGAGTATGTTAAAGTTTGTTAAAAAATTCGCCGAATATTTGTATTGCTGCAACAACATATTTATTTTCCTTTGATTTGCATAGTAGAATACTGGAATACAATGTACATGATGTATTTATCTTTATTGATATTTGTAAACGATTTTAATCAATCAGTCAGTCAATTTACATGTATGCAGTATAATAATAAATGAATTTATAAATCCTTTTCGTGTTTTTCAATTTGTACATCATTGTTTTTACTCATTCCAAGCTCACTTAAGTTCAATATCAAAACAAAATGTTGTTTTTATAATTGATCCATCAAAGACAATCATTACAACAATCAGTGAGAATTATTATTATGAACAATTAATGCTCCAAAACGCACCATCAGTTTTAAATATTTCCATGTGTTTTCATGAATTTCAAGAATTTATAACATAAAAATATCTGAATAAGTTTATTAAACTTTAATACCCTTAATATTAATATTTTTTAATAAAAGTAGGGAGAACGAACCCAGGGAGAACGGACTCTATGGGTGAACGAACTCAGGACGAACATGTAATCAGGGCAAACGGACACGATACCTAAAAAAATATTAAAAACATTGAAACCCTTATAACATGTACAATTAATTGATTCTGGTCAAAAGTTCTGTTAATTGAAATAAAATCTGTTTACTCTATGAAAAAGACTTCACTAAAAATTGTCTACAATTTACTTTGTTTAATTTTTTTCTGAGGATTGACAGAAACACCTTTAATTTCTCTTGTCATAGTATAAAATTTAAATTGTAGGAAAGACACACTTATATATTTGATCTTGATGGACAGAAGTTCATTAAAAAAACAAAATGTATAAAAAAAATACTATATTACATTTATTTGTTATTTAATTCTTTTCGCAGCTTCTACAGACATATTTTAAAAAGATTCCTGAAGCAGATCTGTGGACTTTTATTCTTTCTATATGTTATCATCCCTGTGTTTGTGAAAACAAATCCATGGATACACTCCAAGATGGTGTTCCTTAATATGGGTAAGTTATCCCTAAAAGTGAAAAGGGGAAGAAAAAGTCAGAATGAAGGCTGGAGATAAAGTGAAAAATGCACCTTAATATTGGTACAATGTTAATGAGCTCTGAAAAAGAGACAGAAAATACAAAGCTAACTTTAAAAATCTAAAGTACAAGAAAGACAGACGATGTCATGACCAAGAAAAGGAAAAAAGGACACACAACAATATTGAATAACAAAACAATTCACAAAATGAAAGACTTCAAGTGATATATTTTTAACTGAAGTAGAAATAGAGGTTTTCAGAAGTCTGCTGATTGATGACAATCATTAATTTCAACACAATGTAAGTGTATATTGGCATTATCATGGTGACAGTTTACAAAAAATATACATACTGTATATATAAAACTGCAAATAGCTTTGAATTAAAGATTAAGAAAGAACAATGTTTCAGAAAGACAAAAAAACCAACACACTCATTGTACATACATGTACAAAATGTACATGTAACAAACAACCATTAAAAAAACTGAATGATTTTTATGAAATAAGCTACCAGTAATATGGGATTGTAATCTTAAATTTAACCACTAAGCTTATTAGTTAAACTATTTTAAACCCTTGAATATCACTGTTTTTATAAATACCAATATACATGTATTTCATTCTTTTTCAGTAAGATGGCCACCATTTATTGACTTGACTAAGCCATGGGAGTTTGGACTGAGGGGAGCTAGAAACTTTTATTTAGATGTAAATGAGGATAGTAGAATAGGTGTTTGGTAGGTACTTAGTTCTGAACACAATTGAAATAGACATTGCATGATGTTCTGACAATATTACATGTACAACAACATGTACACTTAATGTTTTGTATGTTTACTTGCATAAGTGAATGTACAAGTCTGAAAATTGATAAGAATGGAATGCAAACAGAATTTGCGCTCACCTTTAAATGGGAATCTTGTAACATATTTTTGTCGAGCCTGCGACTTTTGTCGCAGAAAGCTCGACATAGGGATAGTGATCCGGCGGCGACGGCCTTAGCTAACTTCTTAAAAGCTTTATATTTTAGAAGGTGGAAGACCTGGATGCTTCATACTTTGTATATAGATGCCTCATGTTACGAAGTTTCCTTCAATCATATGTCCATTGTTCTTGACCTTATTTTCATGGTTCAGTGACTACTTGAAAAAAAAGTTAAGATTTTTTGTAATGTTAAATTCTCTCTTATTTTAAGTGATAGGATAACTATATTTGGTATGTGCGTACCTTGCAAGGTCCTCATGCCCGTCAGACAGTTTTCACTTGACCTCGACCTCATTTCATGGATCAGTGAACAAGGTTAAGTTTTGGTGGTCAAGTCCATATCTCAGATACTGTAAGCAATAGGTCTAGTATATTCGGTGTATGGAAGGATTGTAAGGTGTACATGTCCAACTGGCAGGTGTCATCTGACCTTGACCTCATTTTCATGGTTCAGTGGTTAAAGTTAAGATTTTGTGTTTTGGTCTGTTTTTCTTATACTGTATGCAATAGGTCTACTATATTTGGTGTATGGAATGATTGTAAGGTGTACATGTCTAGCTGGCAGGTGTCATCTGACCTTGACCTCATTTTCATGGTTCAGTGGTCATAGTTAAGTTTTTGAGTTTTGGTCTTTTTTTCTAATACTATATGCAATAGTTCAACTATATTTGGTGTATGGAAATATTTTATGATCTATATGTCAGTCACGCAGGTTTTATTTGACCTTGACCTCATTTTCAAGGTTCATTGCTCAGTGTTAAGTTTTTGTGTTTTGGTCTGTTTTTCTTAAACTATAAGCAATAGGTCAACTATATTTGTTGTATGGAAGAATTGTTAGCTGTACATGCCTGCCTAGCATGGTTCATCTGACCTTGACCTCATTTTCATGGTTCATTGGTTAATGTTAAGTTTATGTGACAGTTGTAATAAAGCTTTATATTTAGGACTATCAACATAATATCAATGATTAGTAAAGAAGGCGAGACATTTCAGCATGTGCACTCTTGTTTATTGGTATAAACAATGTAAATTTTTACCATTTGCAGGAAATTTTATATATTTTGTACATCATAGTAAAGGGTTGTAATGGGGGAACCTGCATGACGAATAACTGTAAAAATTCTTGCCAACTGACGTTAATGGTAATTTTTGGTGCATGACGATTAAATATACACTTTCTTTTAGATGATAAAAAAGAATCGACTGATTTTGACGAATCACGTTAAATTTTTTCCAAAAATGACGGTATCGATAATTATTTAAAACCTGACGAATCATGATAATGATATTTTGACGAATCAAGGTAAAATTTTAACCAATTTGACGCCAACGGTAGCCAAAAATTACCGTTTGACGACTGACGGTAAAGGGCATTACTACCCTCATAGTAGGTCTACATACATGTCAAATCATTTTGTTGTGTTTTTGTCTCGCCTTGACGGAGTAAAAAAGCGAGACATAGATATGCTGTTGTCTGCGGCGACATCGTAGTCAACAATGTATAAGTTTGTGATTAGGTCTAGCTTTGGTGAACCACTAATGGTAGGTCAATGATATTTGGTATGCAGTTGTATTAGCATTGGCACATCTCATTACCATGGAGATTATTTGGCCCCGCCCACTCAGTCAAGGTCTATTGACTTTGAAACTTTTCATAGTTTACATGTATTAGTTTGTGATTAGGTCAATTTATGGGGAACCACAAGTGGTAGGTCAATGATATTTGGTATGCAGTTGTATAAGCATTGGCATATCTCATTTCCAAGGAGATTTTTTGGTTCCGCCCCCTTAGTCATGGTTTATAGACTTTGAAAATTTTGCTAAGTTAACATGTATTAGTTTGTGATTAGGTCAGTTCAAGGGGAACCATCAGTGGTAGGCCAATGTTAATTGGTGTTCAGTTGTATAAGCATTAGCACATCCTATTTCCATGGAGAATATTTGGCCCTGCCCCCTCAGTCATGATCTATTTACTTTGAAACTTTTGCTTAGTTTACATGTATAAGTTTGTGATTAGATCAGTTTAAGATGAACTGCTAATGTTAAGTCAGTGATATTTGGTATGCAAATTTATTGGCATTTGCAAGTATTGTTTCCATCGAGATTATATAGCCCCATCCCTGATCATGGTTCATTGACTTTGAAACTTTTACATAGTTTACAAGTTAATGTTAATGTTTTTGTTTAGGTTTGTTTAAAGGGAACGACTTATAATAATGGTATTTGGTATGCAGTTGTATTAGCATTGGCACATCTCATTCCATGGAGATTGTTTAGCCATGTACCTTCAGTCATGGTTCATCGACTTGAAATATTTGCATACCTTACATGTTAAAGTATTGTTGTTTTAATTTCAACATTTGCATTATCAAAATTACAAAAAGGCGAGACATATCTCTGTGGTAACAGTTTATTTATTTCTACAGGCAGATTTTGCCCAACTCATCAGTAGAAGAAGGAGGTGATTTTGATAAACTGTTAGGCAATGGGAAGAAGGTTATACTCTATCTTCATGGAACAACTGGTACAAGGTAAGGCCACACAAAATAAGTCTCCAACTTCTGACAAAGAAGAATGTAATATGGCCATGTTTTAGCCCCTGAATTTGAAAATAAAAATATAATAGATATATGTCAATCATCAGTACATGTACATTGTATTTATATTTTGTATTGTATACTTTCATAAGTGTTTCAAACTCCATGCATTTTGTGCTAAACTATCAAAATGGTCTCATTTTTTAGATCTTTTCATTAATATTTAGATATGTGCCAGTTGTGCAAAGGCTTTACCCAAAAAGATATTTTTCCACAAGGTGTATTTTTCATAGATGCACATTGTGTGTAAAATAAGTTTCTAGATAAAACCTTAGCTTATATCTATTTAAACAGAAAACTATATATAAAGCAGCAATTTTAGGTCAAATAGGTAAATTTTAAGAAAACAGTGCTACATGTATTTGAAAATACTGTGAAAACTATAATTATTTCCCCTATTTAGCTTATTTGCATGGACCACTGGTCAAATGTGAGCTTTATTTGTCACTTGGCAATAAATGTTTTATGTCTAGTGTAAATTTTAAGAGAAATGATCTCATCTGAAATAAAATACATTGTACATTGTTTTTATTTACAGGGGAGGATGGCACAGAGTGCAGCTTTTGAAGTTACTGGCCTCATTAGATTTCCATGTAGTAGCTTTTGACTATAGAGGTAAATCATAGGTTTATAATATAAAAAAAAAACTAACTTCCTTTTTTCTAAGCCTTTGTTAATTAAGGGGTCACTATAATATTATTCTTTGGCTAAACATGTGTTAAGAACAATATATACAATTTAAAACAAACATGTTTTTAGCAAGTTTCTTTGCAGTAAATGCCTCTCAATTTTAATTAAAAATTCTATTTGAGTTTTGTTTTTCATAGATAAACCTTAATTTGGGCATATTGAAAATCTGAGAAAACATTCTGGCTTCATCTATAATTCCACATTGGGTAGAATAACTAGACAGTGATAAGTTGCAATGTTTCAGGATTTTATTCAGATATGTCCAACACCTACTTTCTATTTGCCAATACTTTGACTTTTTCAATGTGTTGAATGATATTAAAAAGTTTTAATCACACTTATCTCCCAATACTTCTAAAGAGAAATACTTCATATTAGGTCAGCAGCTCAATAGCTATGAGTGAAAAATGAAAATATGGGTACCCTTTTTGGATCTCTCTAAAATCCTACTTCCTGTTTTTTTCCCTGATACTTAGGATACTTAGCACAACTTGCATGCATTCTTTTTGTGTTGTCTTCAAATCAGTCTTCCAACTTGTCCGAAGAATAGCTGCAATATATATGTCTGTTAAAAGTTTGTTATTTTTACTAATTGTTTTTGGTAATATAGCTCTTCAACTGTTTCAGTTTTTATTCATCCTTGGCTTTCAATTAATATTTAGCTTTGAGCGTTCCTGATGAAGGTAATTCAAGAAAAGCACTTCAGGCACATGACACTTTTATCATGTTGTTTTCGTTTATTTTGAAGAAAATAAACAATAAACCTTAATGTAAGTTTTTAATGTTGAAAGAATTCTGCCTCAAGTTTATGTAAATTGAAATATTAACTGATTATAAGCTGATTTGATAAAGAAAATTTACAATTAGTTATTTATTGCCTAATGAAAAAGAGTAACTAGAAGATTTTTTATTTACAGGGTATGGTGATTCCAAAGGACATCCCACAGAGGACGGTGTTGTGGAGGATGGATACTTCATGTATAAATGGATAAAGGAAAGAAGTAAAGATTCAACAGTCATACTCTGGGGGCATTCTCTTGGCACTGCGTAAGTTTTATCATTATTGTCTCATGCAATTCGATCCATTATCTTGGCCTTCTTTTCCTTTAGGGGTCTTGAGGGTTATGATTCAGTATACATTTATTATTAGGTAAGGGGTTGTTTTAGTTTCAGGTTTAAGTGTTAGGATTAAGTCTAAGATATGTGTAAGGTTATAATAAGGTTAATTTAGTTTAGCCTGAGAGTGACGTTTGAATTGAAGTTAAAAAATCAGGACAAGAAGAGGTTAACCTGACAAGACAGGATTAACTGTTTCGACTTTGAAAAGTAAATAATCATGAGTTGTAAATGACATAATTGGATTTTTATAATATATGTCATTGCAGACTGACATGCAAGTACTCAACACTAATTCTTGTGATCATCAATGTAAAAAAAATTATGTTTGATTTTGTAGGATTACAACAAAACTTGCCAGGTTACTATGTCTTAAAAGTAAGTGTATACAGTATTTATGTATTTATTCATGGCTTTTCATTATTATCAGAAGTACTGTTGTTCAGAAAACATGTAAAATCTATATTCTTATTTGGTTTTTATGAGAAAAATATAAATTTTATGGTAAAATGGTTGTACTGTATAAAAAGTTTACCCTTTTTGTCTTAATTACTTCATAAATCACCAATTTCAACTTGATGCCACTAGACTTAAGTCAAGATAAGGTTTTTTTCTGAAAAAATGGTAATTTCCTATAAGCCTTGCATAATTCATCACAACTATCTAGTTAGGACCTTTTCTCAGACCAGCTTGAATCAATTTGGGTTGTTAAATTAATCAGCAACAGCTACAACAGGACTACCAAGGGAAATAACTCATCCTCAATTACATATGTTATTGCTACTGCTGCAACTAGGGTCCATGCATACTATGCACAGGTCAGTATTCACAATTAGTCATTTATTTCTGTCTGATAAAAGTTGATGCACATTGATATTGTAAGCAAATTTTGAAAGAAGAAAATTAATCGTGGAGTTCTTATGACAGCTAGGCCCCAATGAACATTTCTATGTAAAATGTATATGCCTAAATCCGATATTGTGATTGTGAATGTATTATAAATTTGTACTAGGATTATATAGAAATAAAAAAAAAAGAACCGAAATTGACCTTTACAAATGGACATATTACAGTCAAACCTGCATATATTAAAAGTTCACCCTTAAAAGCTGTTAAAATGACCACATAAGAGAACTAGTTACCTTTGAATTGAGGCTAAAAAAAACAGGACAAAAGGAAGGAGACTTGACAAGACAGGATTAGAGGTGACCTTTATAGCAGCTGACTGTATGTATTTTCTTTTTATGCCCCACCTAGGGGCATAATTTTTTTGGGCAGTGCGTCTATTCGTTTGTCCGTCGGTTCGCTGTCTGTCCCACTTTAGGTTAAGGTTTTTGGTCAAGGTAGTTTTTGATGAAGTTGAAGTCCAATCAACTTGCAACTTAGTACTCATGTTTGCTATGATATGATCTTTCTAATTTTAATGCCAAATTAGAGTTTTGACCCCAATTTCACGGTCCACTGAACATAGAAAATGATAGTGCGAGTGGGGCATCCATGTACTATGGACACATTCTTGTTATTCATTATTTCAATAACAATATATTATTTATTTTTTAGATGAGGATCCTGATGGAGTAGTATTAGAATCTCCATTTAACAACATCAGAGATGCTGCTATAAGACATCCATTCACTGCTGTGAGTATACAATTTGCTAGGGAAACTAAACTGAAAATAGAACTTGAACTTCTAAAGATTTGCCATAAAGAATTCATCAATACAGATTTTGAACTATCAAGACTGCTCAATAACCTGCAATTCACTGCAATATCCTTTATGTATAAAGATGTTTGATCTTCACACCTATAAAAAAGAGTTTAATCCAGCATTTGGCAGGATATCTGTTAAGGGATTATATTTAGCCTGGTTAAATATCATGTATTGTTTTATGTTCATAATGCATATGTATTATGTTAATCATAGTATTTAATGTTTTGACTATTTTATATGGAACTATTTTATTTGTACCGTATATTTTTGTCATTGAGTATGCAACTGTTATCATTATATCTAGTACAATCTTTGAGATGGCTTAAATCATAATTATATTAATCACTATACTATAGTTAGTGAACTTCAGTGACCCATTCAAAAGCTGAAAGGTCAACAATTATTCTACAAGTGCAGTTATATATTAGATATAGAATTGTTTGCTGTTTATTTCAGTTGTTCAGATTTATGCCAATGTTTAAAGAAATATTTATAGACACAATAGCTGAGAATGGTATCTACTTCAGTAGTGACGAGAAGTAAGTACATCTATATATTGTTCAAGATTATACATATATAATACCCTTTATTGTATAGGAACAGTTTATTTCATGCAGGATGTAACCAAGTGTTGGTGGGCAATATTATTTCATATTGCACTAGTACAAATAAATCATCATGTTTGATGACATCATCAGATGTCACAAATATAGTTTTTAACAATTTCCAAGCTTTCCAATACAATAAAAGGGTAAACATGGTAATTGCATGAATATTAGTGAATATTATTCCTTGCAAAATAAATATTAAAATCCCAAGCTTGTGCAATATAAAAATCAATCAGGACAATATTCAACAATATTCATACAATATACCTTAAAATAAAGAATACAGAAAAGATGACCAAGGCACCCTATCAATCCTGCTACTAAGACCCTCTTTAACTTTTCCCATAACTCAAAAGACCTTAACATATAAATTCTAAGGCCAGAAGTATGTAGACATATTTTAGAATATCTTTAGTAAGTAACTCAATGCTAGGAAAAAATTAGGTTGAGTTATCTTTCTTTATTCGGGTGTGCTCCTTCTTTGGAGGATTATAAACAGTACGTAGAAAATGGTAAATACGATCAACAATGGCTGTCGATTTTGTTATTTTCGTATAAAAAATGAGGGCAGTCAAAGACAAATACATCTGAATTGCTATTTTTTTTTACGGAAAACAAGTAAAACGATGTTTTTAACAAGTTGATTATGGTTTTCGTCTTTCCTGTCAATTACGTTTTCTCCATGAAACTACGGTAAACATTGCAAATTGTGCCGAAGTTGTCGTATGTACATTTCTTCAAAGACAAATGCCCACTGACCGATTCTCTTTGAATGAATTAATGTTGATGATCATTTATGACCCATCCGATAAACGGATTAGCTGTAACAACAAATTATGACACCTGTTGTAACCGTTGATTAGTTTGGGGTTGTAAACAAAGTCAAAAACTTGTCGCCAGGTAAAATTTCGTAATTGGTGGTTCACAGCGAACAAAAAAATATGCAATCGATCTTCAAAAAGGCAGGGCGCCCTGGAAACTGTAAAAAGGGCACAGTGTGGCACTCGGGAAAGGGCGGGCGGACTGCCCTGTGAAAACGACCTAGCTGGAAGACTGACCTTTATTATTATAAATTTGTCATATTTCTATACATATATATCATTTTGCTTAGTCAGTCTGAATATCTGAAATCACAACTTTGTGATGTCCTTAAAGTTGCAACTCATTGATTTGAAGATTGACCTGAAATTATCAATGATGCCATGAAGTTTTGATTGAATATTATCACAGCAAGCTTAAAAAATGTTTTAACTATATAAAAATTAGGAGATGTGGTATGATTGCCAATGAGACAACTATCCACCCAAAAGAACCCTAATGATGATATGTAAGCAACTATTGATTACTGTACAGCCTTCAACAATGAGCAAAACCCATACTGCATAGTATACTATAAAAGGAACTGATATGACAAAATGTGAAACAATTCAAATAAGAAAATCATCATCTTGATTTACTGTGGATTCATAATTATTCTTGAGATATCAGTTTTTGTGGATACAGGTAAACCATGACTTTAAATGTTCATTGAAGTACAGCTTTTTATATGTTTGTGTGCAGACTCTGGAAAAACCATTAAATCAAATATCCTTGAAAATACATTTTTTCTCCAATCCATGAAAAAATTGGTACCTACGAAAATCAAATAAATCCACAGCATCAGTATTTAAGGAGGTAGACATAGCTGGAGAAAGATAACTCTTAAAATTCCGGTTTGTGTCCATTTTTTGCATTAATATATTTTAAATTTCTCAATAACACAGACTATTTTAGTTTTGAATTACTGAATGCTTAGAAAAAAATGATGAATTAAAGAGTATCTCTTATAAATCAGGATACCTCTTAATGCATAGATATTGTAAAACATAAGCCACTTAACACAATATTAACATTCATTGGATTGTTAACTTGCTTTATACTGCAAGTAGTTGTGTTTATTTCCTAAATATAGTAACACAGCTATATTTTGTGCAATGTCAATTTCATTCATTAAGGGATGAAAATAAGTTTGAAATTTGTGTTACAACTTAAATAGCTATCAATGTATTAATTTAATTGCAGTATAAAAACAATATTAGGTCAATGTCAGAAAAATATAAACTTTATTGTATTTGGCACAAAACTGGGGAAGGGCTCGGTACAACCTCGCCCTTCCCCAGTTTCTCAGCCTCATACTAAAAAGATTATATTTTTCTGACATTGACCTGATATTGTATATTGAAATTTATTACACATGTTCATTATAATGTAAACTTTGTAAGATATGAGGCAAATTAACAATCAAATCCACCCAAATTTCGTAACTGACTGAACATGGAAATGTGATAGTGTGAGCGAACACGGTGTCCTATGGACGTGTTTTCTTAAGCATTTGATAGTGTTGTGACAAATTTACATAAGAAACACGGCACACAAACAGAATTTATTTGAAATCCCATTTATTGTACTTTTTTTGTAGCATTGCTCAAGTAACATCCCCTTTGATGATGATCCATGCTGAAGATGATGAAATTGTTCCTTATGAGCTTGGAAGAAAGGTTAGTTGATCGGTCATTGATATATAAGGAAAATAACTCTTTATATATGTTGTGCGTACAAAGCACTTTACAGGATATACCTTCATCAGGAACACTGATGAAAAACTTAAAAACTGAAAAGCCAGGGATGTATAGATACAAAGAAACATTAAGGAGCTAAATGACTATTATTATTAAACCTAAAAAGAATTTCCGATTTAATATTTGATCAACTTTCCTGAGGATGTTGGAACCTACGTAATAGATGAAGAAAAATTGTTCATTTTCAATCATTGTGCAAGTAATATCTTCCATGATTATAATCAGTGCATTTGTAATTGTAGACTTGAAATAAAGAAGGGCTGAGAGAATTTTTTAATATAAAAGAAAGAAATGAAGGGGAAAACTTATTTCGCATGCTATTTATTTTTCTAGGCTTTCATGATTTGAAAGATATAGAGAATACAGATTGTTGTTAATATGTCAAACTTGAATCTTCTCTTAAATGCATACAACAACAATGTTAGAAAAAAGCGAAAAAACATTCCTAGAAATCCATTAAAAGGGCAAAAAAAAGAATCTGGGAAAAATAAGTTGGTTTATAATATTGGACAGCCATTTTGACTATAGTCTGGATATTTTATTAATATTTCGACTTCTATTTCTGTGATGTTGCTTAAAAGACCAAGACAATATCCAATACTTCTTCAGAGTTTATACATTTCAATGTTATGTGTGTTAATGTTTAGAAACTGCCATTCATTCTGAAGTTGTTTTTGTTATAGTTATATGAAGCTGCTGAGAAGACCAGAACAACAGGCAGTGCCTCTATAGAGTTTATATCATTTAATGCATCTGAAGGTCTTGGACATAAACATATATTCAAAGCTCTGGAAATACCAAATATTATCAAGTAAGTTTAATCTAAAAATTATTAATTTATGACACAAAATTCCTAATTGCACTTAGCAATGAAACAGTATCTTTATTGCAGCACTTCATTTGAAAGTCATTGTGAGGCCTTGGTCATGGAAACATCTAAAAGACAATGCTAGCGGTCTTTTGATAAAGAAATAGTTACATGAAACATCTAAAATGAGTTCAAATGAAAATGAGATTTACATTCACTTCAGGTTTTTTTCGAGCCTGCGACTTCTGTCGCAGAAAGCTTGACATAGTGAAAGTGATTCGGCAGTGGCATTAGCTAACTACCTTAAAGCGTAATATTTCAGAAAGTAGAAGACCTGGATCCTTCATACTTTGTATATAGATGCCTTATGTTATGAAGTTTCTGTCTGTCATATGTCCATTGTCCTTGACCTCATTTTCATGGTTCAGTGACTACTTAAAAGAAAAGTTAAGGTTTTTTCTGTAATGTTAATTTCTCTCTTATTATGAGTAATATGATAACAATATTTCGTATGTGCATACCTTGCAAGGTCCCCATGCCTGTCAGACAGTATTCACTTGACCTCGACCTCATTTCTTGGATCAGTGAACAAGGTTAAGTTTTCATGGTCAAGTTCATATCTTGGATACTATAAGCAATAAGTTTACTATATTTGGTGTATGGAATGGTTGTAAGAGGTAGATGTCCAACTGGCAGGTGTCATCTGACCTTGACCTCATTTTCATAGTTCAGTGGTTATAGTTACATTTATGTGTTTTGGTCTGTTTTTCTAATATTGTATGCAATAGGTCAACTATATTTGGTGTATGGAAATATTTTATGATGTACATGTCAGTCTGGCAGGTTATTTTATACAACTGCAAAAAATTTTTTGGGATCGTATAATGGTATGATGTCGTCGTCTGATGACGCATTGGTTTCTGGACAATAACTTTAGTTTAAGTGAATAGATCTCTATGAAAATTTTTAAGAAGGTTCAATACCACAAAAGGAAGGTTGGGATTGATTTTGGGGATGATGGTCCCAACCGTTTAGGAATTAGGGGCCCAAAAGGGGCCATAAACAAGCATTTTTTAGTTTCCGGATAATAACTTGTGTATAAGTATTTCAATTGCTCTGAAATTGTACGACAATGTTTAATATCACAAGTAGAAGGTTGAGATTTATTTTAGGGGTTATGGGGCCAACAGTTTAGGAATTAAGGGCCAAAAAGGGGCCAAAAACAAGCATTTTTCTAGTTTCCAGACAATAACTTGTGTGTAAGTGTATGGATCTCTCTGACATTGTACCACAAGGTTCCATATCACAAAGGGAAGGCTAGGATTGAGTTTGGAATTAATAGCCCAAATATGTAGGAATAAGGGACCAAAAAAGGGCCAAAAACAAGCATTTTTCTAGTTTCCAGACAATAACTTGTGTTTAAGTGTATGGATCTCTCTGAAATTGTACTACAAGGTTCCATACTACAAAGGAAAGGCTGGGATCAAGTTTTGAGGTTATTGCTCCAAGGGGGTATCAAAAAGTTGGAGGGGGGGGGGGGATTTTTTTTCCCAATTTTTTTAGAGGATTCATATTTTTTTTTCAAATTTTGAATTTTTGAAAAGTTTCAAGAAGAAATCTTCAATTGCACAGTATTGCGCAATAGATTTGTAAGATCTTTGACCACATTTATTTTGTGTCAGAATTCTATATATTATGTCAAAAATTTGATCACAATCCAAAGTCCGACAGTATCAAGCTGGAATATTGTGTCCAAATTTGTACCAACTGTTTAGGGTTCGACCTCTGCGGCCGTATCAGGCTGCGCTCAGCGAAGCATTCTATTTAAACTTGACCTCATTTTTACATTTCATTGCACAATGAAAATTTTTTGTGTTTTGGTCTATTTTTCTTTAACTATAAGCAATAGGTCAACTATATTTCGTGTATGGAATGATTGTAAGGTGTATATGTCTGTCTGGCAGGTATCATCTGACCTTGACCTCATTTCAATGGTTCATTGGTCAGTGTTAAGTTTTCCTGGTTAAGTTTATTTCTTACATACTATATGCAATAGCTCAACTATATTCGGTGTACAGAATGATTGTAAGATGAACATGTCTGTCTCAGGGCTTCCAAAAAATATTTGAGCCAGCCGGACATTTTATGTCTTATCCCGATTTTAATCCCTTAAGACTTAGTAACAAAAGGTAATTATGGTAATCAGTTGGCCATCAAGTAACCAATGATTGACATTAAAACGATATTAAACTTTACTTTGATATAAATTCGATGTTCTGATGTAAACTGTTAAATTGACAGTGCATTATTCGAAGTGTGCAACAACAGCGTATTAATATCTGCCTAAGACTCTTTATTTGTGCAAAATAACGTTGTCAAAAACTTTACTTTTGTTTTTAAAAAGCACATTTTCCTAATACCGGATGTTGACTTGACAATGGTAAAACATGGAACAGAGACGAATAAGTAAAATCTGTGTACGTTTACAAAGCAATTTTTCATCAAATCATATTTATAAAAATATTTCTGATAATTTCAATCGTTTTGAATAAATTAATTAGATGCAAACCGCTGAAATGTAAGAAATTTCTTTGAATAGACCGATTAATGTCCGGTACAAAATAGTTTACCTGTCACCTGAACAGGTAAATTTCAGCTGTCTGACAACTAATTATCCTTGATTAAAATGAGAAGGTATTAAAGTAGGGTTTGTTTTGATAGTACTTATTCATCATGTCATTATTATGACTGGAAATGTGTGGCTGTTTAAGGCAAAAGGTCAGGTCAAAAAGATCGCATAAACTTTCAATTTTTTTTGGAATTATGTTAAAATGACCGTCTCTTAAGAAAGCCTTAAAAACTAAAAGTAGATGTCCATTTCATGCTTTTCCCAGCTGGACAATGTCCGGAATATATGACCGTTTTGGAAGCCATGGACTCTGTCTGGCAGGGTTCATCTGACCTTGACCTCATTTTCATGGTTCATTGGTCAATATAAAACATTTCATTGTTTGGAATGGTTCTTGTATTCTACTAGCAATAGGTCAACTATATTTGGTGTATGGCATGATTGTAAGGTGTACATGTATTTCTTGCTTGTTTTATCTGACCTTGACCTCACTTTCTTGGATCATGTTAAGTTTATGTAAAACTTTATGTTTAGGACTATCAACATAAAACCAATTGTCAGTAAAGGAGGCAAGACATTTCAGTGTGTGCACTCTTGTTTTCCTTACTTATGTGTCTCTTTTTGTCAAGCCTTCGACTTTTGTCGAAAAAGCGAGACATAGCGATCCTACATTCCGTCGTCGTTGTTGTTGTCATCGGCGGCGGCGTCCACAAATATTCACTCTGAGGTTAAAGTTTTTGAAATTTTAATAACTTTCTTAAACTATCCTGGATTTCTACCAAACTTGGACAGAAGCTTGTTTATGATCATAAGATAATATTCAAAAGTAAATTTTGTAAAAAAAAAAAATCCATTTTTTCTGTATTTTACTTATAAATGGACTTAGTTTTTCTGCCAGGAAACATTACATTCACTCTGTGGTTAAAGTTTTTGAAATTTTAATAACTTTCTTAAACTATCCTGGATTTCTACCAAACTTGGAAAGAAGCTTGTTTATGATCATAAGATAGTATCCAGAAGTAAATTTTGTAAAAAAAAAAATCCATTTTTTCCGTATTTTACTTATAAATGGACTTAGTTTTTCTGCCAGGAAACATTACATTCACTCTGTGGTTAAAGTTTTTAAAATTTTAACAACTTTCTTAAACTATCCTGGATTTGTACCAAACTTGGACAGAAGCTTGTTTATGATTAAAAGCTAGTATCTAGAAGGAAATTTTGTTCCATTTTTTCCGTATTTTACTTATAAATGGACTTAGTTTTTCTTCCAGTTAACATTACATACAGTCTGCAGTTTAAGTTTTTAAAACATTTATTAGATTCATAAACTATCCTGGATTTTTACCAAACTTGGACAGAAGCTACTTACAATCAAGAGGAATATTTTTATTAATTTTTTTCCTCATTTTTGTTGAGCCTACGATTAACAGCAAAAGTAGGCGAGGAACCCATACGAATTTTTTAAACAATATGCCCACTTACGCAAATAGATACATCAAAATGGCAGACATTTATTTTGTCATAATACATGTACTGGTATGTCCCCCAGAAGAATTGAATGTTTTCTGGATAATGATATGAGTTTGGAAAAATATGTACCCATTTTTTTTTAAATATCATTATCCTATAATGTATTTAGAATTTTTGCCAAAGTTAATATAGTTTTTTTTAAATCTTTTTCAGGAATTTTATGCATGAGACATGTCAGAAGTAATGATATTGATCTTCAGTGATATACCCACAGTCTTTCTCAACAGTAGTCCTCAGAAGATCTTCATCAAGCATTTATGGTTATCTATTTAACATGATTTCCTTGTTTAAGTCATCATGTAATATGTTATTCTTTGGTTATATATCCAAGCATTTGTGCCAAAAAAGGTGAATCAAGACATTATGGCTACAATCACAACTACAAATTTTATTGTGTTCAATATTATAGGTTTTGAAAAAGTTGGTATATTTTGGCAACATCCTGTTTAGATTCAACTTCATCGTTTGTAAATCTGGTAAATTTTTTCAAACTTAAATACACACATTTTTTGTTCATTTATTTATAGGGAGTGGCAAATGTTAGCAATAGGGAGTGGCAAATGTTATCAATAGGGAGTGGCAAATGTTAGCAAAGCTTTTGTGAAAGAATGTAAATTATAACAACATATTTGAAACCAGAAGTAAAGAAAAATTATTTTTATCTCTATGTATTATGCTTTTGAAAAAGTCATGTTTTCAAGTGTGCCACTATATTAGTTGTCTCATTGTTATTACATGTATGTCATCAGACCATTATAGATCTAATGATTTATGTTTACATGTCTGTAGAGCTTGCATTTTAAGGAAATTTATAAAATTCATTTTGATAATTTTTTAGCACAAGAATGACAATCCATGTATTAAAAAAGTTTTTTACTATGTAACATAGTAGGGTATTTTTTCAAACTCATTTAAGTGGTAGTGTAAAATGTTCATTATTACATATGCCTTTGTGTTCAACATACTAATAATGCCAAAAATTTTAAATCTTAAATGTACAAATATAACATTATATTTTAGTCAGGCTCAAAACTTTTCTTGAAATAGATATAGTTTTTTTTATTGAATTAGGTTTCAGAAGCACTGTAAAGGATAATGTTTGGTATTATATATGTGAGCATATCATATTCAAATGTGTATGGTATGAGGGATATAGTGATGAGTGATGATCCTTTTCCTGTTCTCTGTACATCTTCCATCTGCCACCATAAAAAATCCTCAAAACTTTCAAAGATTATACAGTTCTTGATGGTATTGTGCACCCTAATTATATTTTTTTGTTAAAATGATTTTTAGGGGTTTCCCAATTAATGTGGATGTTAGTATTTCCTCATCATGCATCTGAATAGAGAATATTTATTAATTTATGAGTTCTGCTAATACATGTACATTTTTCTAATTTAATTCTAAACAAGATTAGTACAACAGTTTTTTAATATACACAACTAGTTTTATAATTTTTTCTGTAACATTATTCTATAATAGCTGTTTACAATTTTCTCTGTTGGATTTGACCATTTGGTTATACTGTGTAAAGATCTGAAAAGTAATGGTAGCCAATTGTTTTTAGTCATGGTAAGAGTTGACCTCAATATTACTGCTTGTTATTAGCTGTTAACTCTTTCATCAGTTTGTATTTGAACTTCATTACTATTTTTCATTCTTGTACAAGATCTGAAAAGTATTCATGGCCATGTTTGAAGTCAATCATGAAAACAGTTTTCCTCAATGTTACTGCTGTAATTAGCTGTTTACACTTTCATCAGTTTTGATTTTGAATTTTATTTTAGTTATTTTTATATACTTGTGTAATTCTTAAAAGTAATGGTGGCCAATTTTTATACGCCCGTCAATTTTTGACGGGACGTATTATGTTATACAAATGTCCGGTGTCAGTCCGTCTGTCTGTCCGTCTGTCTGTCCGACGTAAACATGTCGCACCGTGCTCTTGAGAATGACTTATCCAAATTTCATGAAACTTAATATAGTTGTTTCTTATGATGGTCAAACGATCTGTATACTTTTTGGTGAAAATAAGATTAAAACTTTTTGAGTTATGGGACTTAGTAACAAAAACAGGTGTGTGTTTTTTTTCACATGTCACGCCAAATCTCAAAAACAATTTATGATTATTGCTTAAAACTTTACACACTTCTTAGTTATATTAATCTTAAGATCTGTATACTTTTTGGTGATGATTCAAAATTTTATTTTAGAGATATTGAGTATTTTGTTAAAAAAAGGGGGAGGGGTTTTTCACATGTCGCGCCGTATCTCAAAAACAGTTTATGATTATTGCTTAAAACTTTACACACTTCTTATTTATATTAACCTTAAGATCTGTATACTTTTTGGTGATGATTCAAAATTTTATTTTTGAGTTATTGAGTATTTTGTAATAAAAGGGGGTGGGGTTTTTCACATGTCGCGCCGTATCTCAAAAACGATTTATGATTATTGCTTAAAATTTTACACACTTCTTAGTTATATTAATCTAAAGATCTGTATACTTTTTGGTTTTGATTCAAAATTTTATTTTTGAGATATTGATTTTTTTTTTTTTTAAACGGGGGGTTTTCACATGTCGCCCCTTATCTCAAAAACGATTTATGATTATTGCTTAAAATTTTACACACTCCTTAGTTATATTAATCTAAAGATCTGTATACTTTTTGGTTTTGATTCAAAATTTTATTTTTGAGATATTGAGTTTTTTGTAAAAAAAAAAAGGGGGTTTTCGCATGTCACGCCGTATGTCAGAAACTATTTATGCTTATTGCATAAAAATTCACACACAAGACGAAGGGCGTATCATGCGCTCATGGCGCAGCTGTTTATTTAAGTCATGATGTGTGTTGACCTCCATGTTACTGCTGTTATAAGCTGTTTACTCTTTTGTCAGTTTGGATTTGAATATAATTACTATTTTTCTTTTATTTGTTATGCATGTGAAAGATCTGAAAATTAATCATGGCCATTTTTGAAGTCAAGTCATGAGTTGACCTCAGTGTTACTGCTGTTATAGTCTGTTCATGTTTGTCAGTTTGGAGCTGAATTATCAAATTATTTGTTAACGCGAGGTGAAGATATGAAAAGTAGTGTTGGTCACGAGTGATAAAAGTTGACCCAACTATTACTATTGTTATTATACATCAAAGTAGTGAAGCTTGTTTTAAAAAGATGCATGTCCATATTTTCGATCTTATATTATGAATATCAATTTCTACGGTTTTTACGAACTGGGAATATACATTCCATGTATAAAATAATATCATTGTTTTTGTCCCAAATCACTTAGATCTGAGTTTATCAATTATCACTTTTTACTTTAAAGTGGGAAGATTTTATGAGGGTTTTTTTTTGTGGCTGAATTTGTGATGAAGATAAATTCATTATATCTCTGTGTGTTTGTATAAGAGGATTTCCGAACCAAAAAAAAAAAAGGAGCAATAATTTTATAGGGCTCAAAGGTTTTCCACCAAAAGTACGAAAAATTTTAAATTGGCAAAAATAGTCAACTTTCAGTATTTTAAAAGCTGTTTCTTAAACCATTTCCATAGATAGAAGGGTGCATCTTGACAATCTGATTTTGTAATCTCATATTTTTAGAATTTTGTTTCAAACCTTATCCATATCTCCTCGGACTACAACCAGCTGATTGATTACAATTTGATGAAATTGCAATGATCCCCCTGTGAATCAACTCCCAAAAGGATAAGCTAACCTTCAAAATTCAATTATCTCCCCTTTGAAATGTTAGACCAGGATTAAATTCCCTCCTGTACGTCATTGAGTCGTGTTTTACAACAGTGGTAAGTTTCATCAATATCCGTCCAGCCATTTTGGACAAGTTGTGTTGACAAAACAGACCGAGGGATGGACTGACAGGGTTTCTAATATACCCTCCAAAACTATGTTTGGGGGAGGGTGTAAAAAATACATTAATTGATTTTGAAATTAAAAGATCTATTCAACGTATCATTAGAGTGTCCTAAAGATGACAACTGTCACTCAATGTGCCCTCTTAGTAAAAGGTTACCCAACCATTTATAAAAGCTGCAGGAAGCACTAATATATGTATATATTTTTTAAAATGTTTGTTATTGATACTTGTGTTATATATATATATAAATGTTAATGAGTGATTTTTAGTGTACATATTGTTAACAAGTGATTATGAGTATGATTTTTACCTATCTTATTTATTTTGAGTAATACAATAAATGACATTTAATACCTCCAATGATATGCAGGACAATGGGATTAGATAATTTTAGTGCATTTTATGATCACAGTTCTGTAAACCAACGTGGGAGTAAAGGCCCAAGAAAATTAAGTGTTTGAGATATATTTTAAATTTGCACACAATTTTTAGATATGCATAAGTTCAAGTAATATAAATAAATTACATGTAAGCATTTTTTACTACTAATTTTGACTGAAAAAATATGAATATTTATATTATTATATCAAATTGTGAATACTTTAAAATGAATTACAACACTTGATTTCTATGCTGTGCAACTAATTTCTTTTATATTAAAATTTTTAATCTGATATATGTATTTCAATAGAGATATGAGCTGCGTCAGATAGAAATTGACCTTAGGCAAATAAATATCAATACAACTGTCAACCTATTTCAGTTGAAAAAATCTCAACGGAAAGTCTGTAACTGATTGAAAATTGATTTGATATAAGAACCCTACAAAACTGACCAAAATTCATCTTTTATTTCGTATTTGAATGATCCAAAATTTCAGTAGTTGTCTTTTGTTGATCAGATTTATAAGTGTTTCTCGTTTTTTATATAGATTAGATCGTTGGGTTTCCCGTTTGAATGGTTTTACACTAGTAATTTTGGGGCCCTTTATAGCTTGCTGTTCGGTGTGAGCCAAGGCTCCGTGTTGAAGACCGTACTTTGACCTATAATGGTTTACTTTTATAAATTTTGACTTGGATGGAGAGTTGTCTCATTGGCACTCATACCACATCTTCTTATATCTATGTACACATGCACTTGCATAAGGTCTATTTCTATCTGACGCATTTGTTTTATTGTTTTATCACAGCTTGTAAGGTTTTATTGGCACTTTCTAATTCTATTATTGATGCTTTTCACATTTTTTTTGAAATTTTATTTTTACAACTTTTTTGTTAAATGATTGATTTTTTATCACTGACTTATGAATGGCACTCCCTCTCCTTTGTCTTCTATGGTGTAACAATATGTCTTGTTATATTTTGTATTATTCCAACAAAATGTGATATGAGAATTTTGATCAATGCAATTTTCACAGTATTATGGAATAAATTTATATATAGTCATGTACATTTTGATTTATTTGGCCAATAACATAAATGGGCTTTTCCTAACCAGTTACACGCATGGCATTAAACAACTTTTGACAGATATATAGAATTGACAACAACTGCAAGTTAAAAGTGATATTTTTTTTTATTTCAAGTTGCCTAACATTACTTGAACAGTAGGCACCATCATAGATACATGAACCATGATTTCTAAATTACACATGATAAAATTTCATTCTACTTATTTTTTAAAAAAAATGGCATGTCTGTTCTAACTAAACATAAATATCTATAATTTTCCAAAATTTGTGGTGGTTAGTTTATTGGTGGACAAATCCATGAAACAATTGTTAAATCTCTAACCCTAACAATATCAGACAAACTCTATTACATGCCCCCAGATTGCAATTCTAACAAATGATCAGAAACTGTATTTTCTACTATAAAGACAAAAGGCTGGTCCATTCTGTATGAATGTATTTTAAAGAATCAATTTCATTCATTCTATGTTTTCCATATATATGTTGAATATTAAATAGATAACTGCTTTTTTTGACTCAATCCCTCCGTCTTTGGGGCCCTTTTTAAAGAAAAGGACTTGGTTGAGAAATTTTATATTTGTGAACTTTGCATTAGAATAAATTAAACATACAAGGCTAGTATACTATGGTAGGTTAAAGCCATCATGTTATTATTAGCAAACAACATTCTTCAATGTTTTAGGATTTTTAGTTCACCAGATAATCAAATATTTTAATAAAATCAAAATTTATTTGATACTTCCCACTCCCTCCTCTCCCAAAAGAAATAAACCGATAGTAAGGTTTTAAATTCATGTAAATAAGTTACAAAATAGAATAAACCATTGAATCTAATTGGATATTTGACATTTATGTCTGTGAAAAATGTTATCCAATAAGTTTTCCATTAAAGATTGTATCTGCACTGAAAAGTGGAAAATGTAGGTGAATGAAAACATTTCTCATGTCTCTTAAATAATACAGAAATTTTATCATGGAAAATGAACCTACAAACTTTAATAATAATCTATTATATATTAAGTCAAATGTGTTCTTTTTGTACATTTGAACATACATGTATAAAAAATGAAAAATCCTAATGATTGTAATATTTACATTTAGCATTTCACATGCAACATTTAACCATGCTAAATATCACTTTGTTAACCCTTCTACAGCTCATCTTTTTAAAGTTTTTTATTAGGCAAATCTGTTCATACCTCCAAAAGTTTTAAGAAAATTTCATGCAGTAAATTATCCATTTTGCGTAGTATCAAACAAATATCACTTAATCAGCAAAGTTGTGAACCTTACAGTAATAACAATTGAGACAGTACTTTTGACATCAATCAACGACAAACTTAGACTTTCTGTGGATTCATTTAATTTTTGAGGAAACTGATTTTCATGGGTTGAGGAAAATTTGAATTTTCGTTGATTTTTTATTTTGTAGATCTGCCCAAGTCTGATACAAGCCTATAGAAAAGGGGGGGGGGGGGGGGGGGGGGGGGGGTATTTTCATGCATTGATTATGGTAAACAGTACTAGTTAAACAGGAATTTAAGGATGTTCACTGCTCTTGTTATTGACTTTTTGTCAGATATTCGGAATCCACTTGTTTTATCCATGTAGTGTCATTAAAAATTTTGGCTGCTAACCCCTACTTTTCTTTTCATAATCTTATTACATATATGTGTATATAGTTAAAGAGCTATATTTAAAAATCCTATAAAATCCTTATTTAAAGTTTTTGAAAGAAAAAAGGTGCCAATGTAAAATATATGAAAATCTCGAGATTCATTTCCTGCTCAATGGCTTATATATCGAAATCAAGGATGCAGACTTTTCATTTTTTTTGTGCTTTTTTGTTTCCATTATTTATATATCATCAATTTATAACAGGCTTTTAAAAAGTAGTAAACATCCTTAAGAGTTCAATAAAACAACAAATTCTAATTGGCTTGCATGAAGAATCCCCCCCCCCCCCCCCTAAAAAAAAATTATAAAGCTACCTCCCTTATTTTGAATTCCAACTGACCTGATTTTCAGGCTAAAAAAGAATAGAAGGATCACTCCCAAATAATCCCGCAGGAATTTTTTCATAAAATGCACCTTTGTATAAAGACCATTAATATGTCTTCTTTTGAATGTCCATTATAAATATGCTTCTCAAGTTATTCTAAGTAGACCTGAATATCTTTTAAGTGACTACAAAATTTCAGTGACCTTTAAACCTTTGATATCTTTCATTATGACAAACATTCTGCCCCAGTGGTATAAATGTTAAAACAAAAAATTACACAACCCTAACATTGACCTTTTAACCTCTGACATCCTGCATTATGACACATTCTTTCCCAGTGGTATAAATGTTATACCAACAAATCACACAAACCTTATATTGAACTTTTAACCTCTGACATCTTGCATTCTTTCCCACTGGTATAAATGTTATACCAACAAATAACACAAACCTGACATTGACCTTTTAACCTCTGACATTCTCCATTATGACGCACATTCTTCCCGAGTGGTATAAATGTTATACCAACAAATCACACAACCCTGGCATTGACCTTTTAACCTCTGACATCCTCCATTATGACACACATTCTTTCCAGTGGTATATATGTTATACCAACAAATCATGCAAACCTGACATTGACCTTTTAACCTCTGACATTCTCCATTGTGACACGCATTCTTCCCCAGTGGTATAAATGTTATACCAACAAACCACATTACCCTGACATTGACCTTTTAACCTCTGACATCCTCCATTATGACACACATTCTGGCTCAGTGGTATAAATGTTATACCAACAAATCATGCAAACCTTACATTGACCTCTTAACCTATGACATCCTGCATTATGACACACATTCTTCCCCATTGGTATAAATGTTTATATACCAAATAATCACACAACATACATTTAAAACAGAGATTCTAGTACAGCACTTTTCTAAATATCATGTTTTCGACTTTAACACAATGTTCAAACCAATTACCTTCTTTTCAGGTTCTTAATATATTTTTTCCAATTACCTTCAAGATTTACTTAAAAGGAAGCAACTCCAACCATATGACATGTTTGATGTAGAATAAAATTATCTCCCCTTATCTGTTGAAACTTAGAGCAGTTCATACAAATTTTATCTTATTTATAAGTTTGATAATAGAATAGGAAAAGAAGGGTATAACCAAATGACATAGGCAAGTTAAAACTCAAAATCAAAGATACCCCTAATTCTTTCATTGTATCATTACCTCATAACATTTAAAAAACTCTCACCAAACTTTAACAGAAGATACATACATGCAAACAAGAAAGACAACTCTTATAAAACCCAAAAGGGAGGTAACTTTTTACAATCCCAATTGAAAACAGATCTTAGACTTTTGTCAACACATAGTACATCAATTTGTAACATTTTTCCCCAACAACAATTTTTATAATTTGTACAACAATACAATATATACAAACTTAACATAAAGTTTAGAGATTTTCTACAAAAAAGACATCACATTTAAAATCATTCACAATAAAACAGTTTCCCTGGTAACAACATGACATACACTTTAAGAATTTCATAAATCAAAATAACAACAATATATAAATGCATTTGTAACATAAACATCAAATAAAAATTTACAACAAAACTAACAATTGTGCTTTTATGGGACTAGAAAAACAAAAAGATTTGCACAAATATCATATGACAACAAACGCTCAAGTCCAAAAATTTCATGTACAAAATGAAATTTCCTTGAACACAATAAAAATTTTCATACAAAATGAAAAACAAATGAGTATGATATAAAACGTTTATGAATTGAGAACATGGCACCTTATCAAATGTTAGATACAAGAAAATTTAGTGTAACATAACAGTGCTTCTCATAACAGAAACTACTAAAAAAGGTTCCAACAAAGCATTACTTTGCAATTTATAAAATGCACCATTATCGCATTATATAGCCCTCATAATTAATTCTTACCTAGAAAAGATAAAAATTGTGTAAATCTACAACTGAACTTGTAACAAAATAGACAATTAGTAAAATTTATGACTTATACTATCAGATAAACTCTACAAAAAAACCCAAAAATATCAAATGTAAAAAGTTGCAAGTTGTAAAGCAATCAATCTTATAATTTTTTTTAAAAGCCTGCTAGCAAACGAGTGTCAAATGCCCACCCAACCTTGTATGTAAAACAAAGAATTTTTTCCTAAAAATCTCATATTACAGAAAATTAAAATAAACTAAATTTGTGTTTTCATTAAAAGATAGAAGAGCATTTGGGTACTTTTTTTCAAGATTTTTGCCTACTTATGGAAATTCTATTTCATTGACTCATAGTATGCATCATAGAGAAAATAATGGTATATTTATTTGAAGAAATAAAATTGAAGTAAAAAAACTTGTTTAACGCAAGAGCAGCTTCTTTTACATGGTTAAAAATAAAACCTGAAGTACAAATATATATATGTACAAAGTATTTTCATGTTCAAAATAATCCCTAACGCTATGAAGGATTTTTCAGAATTCTTTTCAATTTAAAGTCATAAACCTGTCTACACATATAAACTGTATTACTATCCACATCTGGAACAGGGATTCTCTGAGATCTGGGATTATCTTCTAGGACAGGAACTACCATTGGCCTAGGAGAAAGATTACACTCTACTCTGCATTTCTCAGCTCTGTACCTATAAAGCAAAATAAAATATACAATGACTTGAAATACATGTAAATACTTAAAACAGTTAAGAAAGGACTCCAATTGAGAAATATTGTATCGTACCAGATACTGAGTGATCCAAAGATTTGCAGAGATTTTGTTTACTGTTAAGATACCATCAGACACGGTAGCCTTTTTTCATTATTGAATGTTGACCAATGAAGAAATAAGAAGAATCAAACAACTTATTGATTTACAAAATATAATCAACATGTATTGGAAAGTCTATAATTGGCTAGGAATAAGAGAAAGCAAAACAAAATGTACACATGATAAGGGAATATTGTTTTAATGGGAGGTGCTATAACTTGTAAATTTTTGTAATTGTATCTGGCATTTTGTGTTAATTGGTCTCATGAGCATTATCTCATTTTACAATTACTTTAAAACAGGATTTCATACAAACAGGTGCTTGGTGAGAATTTTAGTTCAATATTCAACACTACATAAAATCATGATATATAATACATAATAGCAACAGAATAGCTTGTCTTTTAATGATGGTATGTTCACCTTTTCATTTAAGATACAAAATACAATGTTCTCTATTAAAAAACATAGAATTATAATGTCTTAAACTGAATTTAGAGGTTTTACCAACAAGGTAACTCATATTATTAACAAGTTATTACTAAGGGCTTTTCCATTTAAACCAATATCGGAGGGTAGAAGGCATTTTAACAATCTCCTTAAAACCAACATTCTATCTGCATGCTCTGTGAGTAATTTGCATAGTTACATTAAATAGACATAAAACACAATCGTACCTGCAGTATTCATTATATGTCAGTACGTATCCTCTATCGTCAATACAAGCCACACTGTTCTCATCACGATGTTTAGAAGCAAAGATTTCATTCTGTAGATGGTGAGGAAGGCGACCAGAGTCTGTATGTTCTGGGTGATAGTACCATAGTAAACCCATCATCATCTCATCTGAAGAATAAAAGTCACAAACATGAACACAAATGGCATGTTTTTGTCCGTTATTGATCACAAAATAAAACAGAATCGTTTTATTCAATATTCTTTCATATCTTTTTTTTATTACTCAGGTAATTAAATGTTTTTTACAACCCCCTCTCTCTGTCTTATTTATTTTCTTTTTTTACCACCCCCTCTCTCTGTCTTATTTATTTCCTTTTTTTACCACCCCCTCTCTCTGTCTTATTTATTTTCTTTTTTTACCACCCCCTCTCTCTGTCTTATTTATTTCCATTTTTTACCACCCCCTCTCTCTGTCTTATTTACTTCCTTTTTTTACCACCCCCTCTCTCTTGTCTTATTTATTTCCTTTTTTTACCACCCCCTCTCTCTGTCTTATTTACTTCCTTTTTTTACCACCCCCTCTCTCTGTCTTATTTACTTCCTTTTTTTACCACCCCCTCTCTCTGTCTTATTTACTTCCTTAATGCTGCGATTTTTTTTTTCATTTTTCTGTTTTGTTTTTGAATTATAACTTAGTAGATAAAATGCTCCGCTGGGGGCAGCTTGATACGACGGCAGAGGTCGACCCTGAACAGTTGGGGCAAGTATGGACACAACATTCAAGCTTGATACAGCACTGAATTTGGATTGTGATTAAATATTTGACACAGCATAGGTTTCTGACACAGAATGAATGTGGTCTAAGAACTTAAAAAATTTTTAATTTACCTATTCAAACCATATCATTATTATTTGCTTTTATATATAAATCAGAAATAACCAATTTAAAATGGAAAATTTTAAAGAAAAAAAGGAACCCCCTTATGATTAAACACCCCCAAACTCAATCCCAGCCTTCCCTTTGTGGTATGGTACCTTGCAGTACAATTTCAGAGAGATCCATACACTTGAACACAAGTCATTGTCTGGAAACTAGAAAAATGCTTGTTTTTTGGCCCCAAATTCCTAAACGTTTAGGGCAATTACCCCCAAACTCAAACCCAGCTTTCCCTTTGTGATATGGAACCTTGTAGTACAATTTCATTATAAAGATCCATACACTTACACACAAGTTATTGTCCTGAATCTAGAAAAAACGCTTGTTTTTTTGCCCCTTTTTTGCCCCTAATTCCTAAAATTTAGAGGAAATTACCCCCAAAATCAATCCCGACCTTCTCTTTGTAATATGGTACCTTGCGGTACAATTTCAGAGAGATCCATACACTTGAACACAAGTTATTGTCTGGAAACTAGAAAAATGCTTAACTTTTGCCCCTTTTTTGCCCCTTATTCCTAAACGTTTTGGGCAATTACCCCCAAACTCAATTCCAGCTTTACCTTTGTGATATGGAACCTTGTAGTACAATTTCATAAAGATCCACACACTTACACACAAGTTATTGTCCTGAAACTAGAAAAATGCTTGTTTTTTGCCCCCTTTTTGGACCCTAATTCCTAAGATTTAGAGGAAATTACCCCCAAAATCAATCCCAGCCTTCCCTTTGTAATATGGTACCTTGCACTACAATTTCAGAGAGATCCATACACTTGAACACAAGTTATTGTCTGGAAACTAGAACAAGAGTGCACACGCTGAAATGTCTCGCCTTCTTTACTAATCATTGATATTATGTTGATAGTCCTGAATATAAAGCTTTATTACAACTGTCACATAAACTTAACATTAACCAAGTAAACTAAACATTGACCAATGAACCATGAAAATGAGGTCAAGGTCAGATAAACCATGCCAGGCAGGCATGTACAGTTAACAATTCTTCCATACAACAAATATAGTAGACCTATTGCTTATAGTTTAAGAAAAACAGACCAAAACACAAAAACTTAACACTGAGCAATGAACCTTGAAAATGAGGTCAAGGTCAAATAAAACCTGCGTGACTGACATATAGATCATGAAATATTTCCATACACCAACTATAGTTAAACTATTGCATATAGTATTAGAAAAAAAGACCAAAACTCAAAAACTTAACTTTGACCACTGAACCATGAAAACGAGGTCAAGGTCAGATGACACCTGCCAGCTAGACATGTACACCTTACAATCATTCCATACACCAAATAAAGTAGACCTATTGCATACAGTAAAGGAAAAACAGACCAAAACACAAAAACTTAACTATAACCACTGAACCATGAAAATGAGGTCAAGGTCAGATGACACCTGCCAGTTGGACATGTACACCTTACAGTCCTTCCATACACCGAATATACTAGACCTATTGCTTATAGTATCTGAGATATGGACTTGACCACCAAAACTTAACCTTGTTCACTGATCCATGAAATGAGGTCGAGGTCAAGTGAAAACTGTCTGACGGGCATGAGGACCTTGCAAGGTACGCACATACCAAATATAGTTATCCTACTACTTATAATAAGAGAGAATTTAACATTGCAAAAATTTTAACTTTTTTTCCAAGTAGTCACTGAACCATGAAAATGAGGTCAAGGACATTGGACATGTGACTGACGGAAACTTCGTAACCTGAGGCATCCATATACAAAGTATGAAGCATCCAGGTCTTCCACCTTCTAAAATATAAAGCTTTTAAGAAGTTAGCTAACGCCGCCGCCACTGCCGGATCACTATCCCTATGTCGAGCTTTCTGCGAAAAAAGTCGCAGGCTCGACAAAAATGCTTAATTTTTGGCCCCTTATTCCTAAACATTATGGGCAATTACCCCTAAACTCAATTCCAGCTTTCCCTTTGTGATATGGAACCTTGTGGTACAATTTCATAAAGATCCATACACTTGCACACAAGTTATTGTCATGAAACTAGAAAAATGCTTGTTTTTTGCCCCTTTATTGGCCCCTAATTCCTAAAATTATGAGGCAATTACCCCGGAAATCAATCCCCGCATTCCCTTTGTGATATGGAACCTCTTGTACAATGTCAGAGAGATCCATACACTAACACATAAGTTATGTCTGGAAGTTACAAAAATGCTTATTTTTGGCCCCTAATTCCTTAACTGTTGGTACCATAACCCCCAAAATCAATCCCAACCTTCCTTTTGTGGTATTGAACCTTATGGTAAAATTTCATAGAAATCCATTCACTTAAACTAAAGTTAGAGTGCGAAAACTAATGTGTCTTCGGACGACGACGCCGGACAATGACGACGACGACGCCAACGTCATACCAATATACGACCACAAAAATTTGTTTGCAGTCATATAAAAACTACATCAAGCAGCATAATTGTTCATTTCCTTTTTTATATTATACCATTGATTTTTTAAGCTCTTTCATTTAATGATATTTCTTTATCTTATGCTGATGAATCAGTCAGCCAGCATTTCATCATTTCGTATGGAATTGTTCATACCACACGTTTACTGTAGTTTCATGATGAAACGTAATTGACAGAAAGACAAAAACCGCAATGAACTTATTCAAACACATTGTTTTTCTTGAATTCCGTTAAAAATGTTTCATTCAGATGTATTTTGTCTTTGCCTGCCCTCACTTATGAAAAAGAATAACAAATCGGTTGGCCATTAATTGAATGTGCTCCTACTGTATATAATCCACCAAAGAGTAGGAGCACACAAGAACCAAGAAAGATAACTCAATTATAATTTTTCCTAGTATTGAAATACCTAGGAATAACTAGTGCATTTCAAAATATAATATTTTTAAACTTGCACAAATGACAAAATAATCTCATACTGAAGTAGTAAATCTCAATGTGTCTGTAGCCTAATTGTGAAATGTCAACAGAACGAAACACATACTCTATCTGTAAGTCATCATTGTACTATGCTCCAGCCACACAATGCCTGTCAGGGGTAATACCTATACAAGTACTTTACTGATACAGGTAATTAATTTTCTTAAGAGTTATCTCCCTTATATAATTAGTCCTTCAAGTACATGAAGTATAAGAAAGTCATATTTCCTTCTTTTCTTGAATTTCTATTGATTCCATTGCTAAAATAGACAGTATTAGTGTCTCTATTCTAATAATTGTCTACTATTCATGAAAGTATAAGTTTATGTCTTAGTTCTAAATATTTTTTTTAAACTTTTTAATTTTGATCTTTTAATACCAACAAAATCTAGACAAATCCTATGGTCATGATGTTTTTTCAAAGTCCAAAACTTAACATTTAGTAATATGCATTAAGCACTAACCATTTTCTTCCCAGAAAGCTGTCACCTTTCCTAGGTATGGAATGTCTGTTTTACGTGGACCTGAGCGTAGGATGACGACATCACGGATATAAATGATATCACCATCGGTATGAATGATAGCTGGATAACACTGTCTCTCTACCATTGATCCTGAGACCTGTAAATAGAGAAAATGTTTATTCATGTATTACAATGTACAATACATACTACACATCATGTGGATATTGTCCTGTTCTCGCAGTCCAAGGTAGGAGTGGGCACAGAAAAGGCAAAACGGTTATATAGTCCCCTACAGCCCTTCCCCCTATTGTATGTATGGAGTGGTAACATATATAATATTTAAACACTTTACAAAAATTAGTTAAGCTTATGTTTTCAATATTTTTATAAAAACTTGATCATGAGGTCAAGAGTGGTTCGACCACCAGATAGAAATGTCAAAATCCATATGTGACTGACTTGCGTGAGCTGTAGCGTTTAGTGAATTGTCAGACGTCTGTCTCATTGACATTACTCCTATTATATATGTATTTAATAATTTTCCATTTCAAATTTTTTGTACCATTTGTTTACAGTTTACAGAGCTAGGTATTTCTCATTTAAGTACAAAAAAGTACATGATGTCATAAGATCATATCATTGATGTTGCCTTGGAAAATAATCATAAACAGGTTATCTAACATGTCTGTTGTCTTTCAAACTCAAGGAATTATCTCGGCAACATCTGTTCACAGGGCTATTGCCTTTCCATGAGATTGTAGCTCTGAGAAACTATTTCATGTTTTCAAAAGCATAGATACTCTTTCAGTATCAATACAATGTTATATTTATCTGATGCAAGCATTTATGCACGTAACATTTGTCAGGTTTATTTATCATGATTATGTTTTCAAATATGGACTTAACCTAACTGTCACAACCATTATTTTTCATTTTTTTTAAACTTTTGTTACGTCATTTACAAAAATTTATCATACGTACCATAATTTTTCGTTTTTCAGGCGGAAATTTAAATTCCCAGTTATGATTTCTTTTCTTCACTTTCTTAATTTCTGTCTTTTTCTTCTCATTTGTTACAGCAGATGTTATTTTGGTTGATGAAGACGATTTTTTCCTCGGGATGACTACAGATTCAGTACTCATGGTACTGAGCTGCCGATCAATGGATGCTACACGTCGCCTTTTTGGATAAGTTTTAGATATCTCATTTTTATCTTTTAAGACTTTAGCATCCACACTTTTACTTCTATTATATAGCTGTACTTTATCTTTGGACGATTTTGTATTTTCAGTCTTCGAAATTTTTCTTTGTTTTGCTTCAGATTTGGAATCATTTGTAAAAACATCATCAGTACTTTTCCGTTTTGTAGGTTTTTTGTTTTCTACTTTATCCAAAGATTTATTTGGCTTTCTTTGTATACTGTCAGCTGATTGATTTTCTGATTTGCTAACTGTTTTTTTCTTTCCACCTTTAACACTTGCAGTGTCAACTGTTGGTGTTTTTGGACTTTTCTTTGTTGAACTGTTTATTTCTTCTGAAGATAGACTTAATTTTTTCTTCTTTGCAGGTCTATTTTCATCTGGTGATTCACATGAGCTTTTCTTTTTCACTGTTTTTACCTCTTCTTGTGACACTTTTGAACTTTTCTTTTTTACAGTTTTAACTTCATTAGGTGACTCTTCCAAACTTTTCTTTTTCACCATGTTCACTTCATCACCTGACTCACTAAAGCTTTTCCTTTTCCCTGTTTTTACTGAATCTGATGACTCACTCAAGTTTTTCTTTTTCCCTGTTTTTACTGAATCTGACAACTCACTCAAGCTTTTCTTTTTCACAATTACTTTTGCATCAGATGACTCGCTAAACCTTTTCTTTTTTCCTGTTTTTACTACATTGGACGCCTCGGCTAAGCTTTTCATTTTCCCCAGTTTTATTTCCTTGGATAACTCACTTAAGCTTTTATTTTTCGCTGTTTTTTCTTCATCAGTACTTTTCTTTTTTATTTTACATTCTGTTGTTGATTCACTAGAACTTTTCTTTTTCACTTTTTTAGTATCATCGGTAGAATCACTTACTGATTTCTTTTTGGAGGGTTTAGTGATTATCTCCCCTGACGATTCACTAACACTTTTCTTCTTTGTAGATTTTGTTGTTTTCGGAGATTCCTCAGAACATTTGGATTTTTCTTCACCTTCTTTTAATTCTAATTTCCTCTTAACATTTTTATCACTTTCATTTTCCTCACTATCTTTCCTTTTCTTTGTACTTTTTGCTTTATTTTCTTTATCAGAAGTTGATGGTTTATCTTTCTTTTTCCCTGATTTTTCACTTTTTGGTGTTTTTATCTCATTTTCTTTCTTTTTCTTCTTTTTCACTGTATCTATTATAATATCCTTCTCACAAAAGGTCAAAGGTGGCACACCACCCACAACATCAATTTCAACATCTAAATCCTCATTACATCCCTTAGAAGTATTAAAACTATTAGACACGGGATGAAATGATGTTGCATTTCCAACAACATCTATTTCGGGATCCATATCGTCAAGCTTTGCTGCACGTGATGAATCCCCAGGTTCTTTAAGCAATGCATGTGTGGAATCTCCAATGTTTTGTAGTGATGAACGTTTGGGATCCCCACTATCACGACCTCCCGTATGTCCTGGATCTTTGACATCACGAAGTGCAGTGTACGATGGAGGAGGAACATTGTGATGGCAAGTGTCATGATGTAACGGAGAGGCTGTAGGAGTGTAATAGTAACATGATGGACAACCTGTAACAGATAGATATAAATAACATAAACAAAACATTCTTAACAAAATCATGAGTAAGAACCATATCAAATTATTATGGTAATTGAAAGATGCTTATTCTTACCTTTATATTCATAAAAGTAAATTTGAAACAGTTAAGAAAATAGGATGGCATAATTTCTTAACAGCAGGCTAAGTACAAAATGAAGTACATGAGCTTGCTTTAAATAACTGTGAGCAGTTTTAACAGTGTTTTTTTTTATAACATATGATCATGATGATATTGTAAATTGATTATTTCATTATTTGTAATTGTATTTTTGTTATCTATATCAAATTGTTACTTTAAAGATTTCAGTGCTTTTCCTCTAATGCCTACACTAATTTTGAAACACCTTATCCCAAATTGTCCACCAGTACCTCACAATTTTGATGTCATAAGAGTAAATGTCTAACGTAACAATGCACAAGTGATTGTTGTATGACATCAATAGTTCAATTGTCGCAAAATCTCTGGTAAAGTGTTGGAGATTCCAAAATAGATGTAAGGTTTATTATCTGTTCTGTTATGATTATTTTGTATCTGTTCTTTATGATTATTTTGTAAGTCAAAAGATCGATTTAAAAGCGTAAGGTTGAGAGTAAAAGTTTTTTAACCAAGCTGCTACTCATTGATTCATGTGCCTGTTTCAAGTAAGAAACATTGTAAGTGATTGTCTTGTGCCATGTCTTAATGTTGTTTTTCCAAAATTTGGTGTTGTTGGGCATTGTTGGCAGATCTCTGATTGTTTCTGTAAACCTACTCAAATCTTTAAAACACTGAACAATTTCATCATTATTTACAGCTTGACAGTGATTATCATGATTATATAGACACATTTATTTTTGAAGACTGCATGTTGCCCTTTAGAAAATCTTTTGGTTGTTTTATTGTTGACTTTGACACACTACAATGAGGTAGTGTGTTATGACTTGTACTCACCACAATGAGGTAGTGGGTTATGACTTGTACTCATCACAATGAGGAGTGTGTTATGACTTGTACTCACCACAATGAGGTAGTTGGTTATGACATTGACTCACCACAATGATGTAGTGGGTTACGACTTGTACTCACCACAATGAGGTAGTTGGTTATGACTTGTACTCACCACAATGAGGTAGTTGGTTATGACTTGTACTCACCGCAATGAGGTAGTGTGTTATGACTTGTACTCACCACAATGAGGTAGTGTGTTACGACTTGAATTACCACAATGAAGTAGTGTGTTATGACTTGAATTACCACAATAAGGAAGTGCGTTTTGACCTGTACTCACCACAATGAGGTAGTGTGTTGTGACTTGTACTCACCACAATGAGGTAGTGTGTTATGACTTGTACTCATCACAATGAGTGTGTTATGACTTGTACTCACCACAATGAGGTAGTGTGTTGTGACTTGTACTCACCACAATGAGGTAGTGTGTTATGACTTGTACTCACCACAATGAGGAAGTGTGTTGTGACTCTGATACTGTATTGGATAACCAGCACTAAAAGGATGATGATACTGCACCATGGGAACACTTCCAATTGTAAAGGTTGGACATGGACTTACTAAACCTCCTGGCTGACCCATTATCCCACCAATAAAACCACTTGGTCCTTGAGAACTATACATGTTCTGAGAGCAATGAACACATGTTCCTGTCAGATTCTGAATAACGCCATAGCTATGCGTACTGTAATTTCCACTTTCAATGTGTCCCATATTATATTGTACATTGCTGTCTATGTAAGTACCAGCACTTTTATCGTCCTGTTTGTGACTGTTACTTGAGTCAATTTTTGACTGTCCAGTCAATGCATTTTGACAGTTGACACATTTAGCACCATTTTGGTCCTTGCTTGTATCAATACTGTTTGCAATGTTTGATTTCGTTTTAGCCTCGGGAAAAGAATGGGTTCTTGCTGCTCTCATTAGCTCTCCCTTCTTTTTTCTGGGCTTTTTAATTTTATCTTCAACGGACAATAATTTGTTTTTGTTCACAGCTTTTTCACTGTCAGAAATCTTTCTTTTTGCTTCTTTTTTATCACCAATTTTCTTTTTTCCTATTTTTGCTTCCTTTAAATTTTTAGTTTTAGTTTTCTCAGCACTTGTCTTGGGTTTTGTCTTAGCTGGTGATTTTGAAACTTTAGATGGTGACTTTGGAGGAGAAATTTTGGTTGGAGATTTCGATGGGGATGAAACTTTAGAAGGGGATTTACAAGGTGAGGTTAGCTTTGATGGTGATGTTTTTGCTAACATCTTTGGAGAAACGACTTTTGTAACCAGCTTTGACGGGGGTGAATCCAGTGTTAGTTTCGCTAATGACTTTTGAATTTGAGTTATCTTTCCTGGAGAAGTTTTTTCCTTCTTTACTCTGACATTTTCACTGAATTGATCATCGGATTTTGCTTTCTTCAGGATACTTTTAACTTTTGCCTCTAGAAGCATTTTTGCTTTTGACAAACTTTTATTTGATATCACTTTCTTGTTGGCAACTTTGCTTTCAGAAGATTTCTGACTTCTGGGAGATTCCTCTTTCCCAAATAAAATGTTAACCATAGCTAACGCGTTCAAGCTGGCCACACGTTTTATTCTACGAACGGGTTGACGAATCATTTCAATTTTTTTGACTGGTTTCTTAGGCTTAACATTTGCCAGTTTGGTTAGTTTACTAGTCTCATCTTGATTTGAATCTTGAGAAAGGTCAGCCAGTTTTGTAAGTTTATTTGCCTCTTCTACACTCCTGTCTTTTGTGACACGTTCTCCTAAGAAAACAACTGCTTGTTTGTTCCCAATAACATCACTAATTTTCTTATCTCCTTGACTATCAAAATGAAAAATTGGAGGTTTTAAAAACTGAGGTTTAGATTTTTCACCGGATTCATTATGAGCATGATGAGTGTCCTTAATTATCTCTGCTTCAGAATCACTTTTTATATCGATATTATCAGATGGCAATTTATTATTGTCTGCATTCTGAAATAGCAATAAATTATCACTGATATCGTCCAAATTTTCTACATCAATTTCAATATCTTCATCCACATCTTCACAGCCTATTTCAGACTTTGTATTATCAGTTGGCAATGAAGCATTGTCACAGTATGAAGTGTTGTTAGGGTTCAAATCTTCAACTTTATTTTTTGTGTCACCACTTTTAGTCAATGCTTTTGATTTAAAATCTTCAACTTCATTAACTGAATTTTCATTTGAGACTAACCCTTTTCCACTATCACTAGTTCTATTCTTAATTAAATCTTGAGCTTCATCATTTTTCTTTTCTGATACTTTTGATTTATTTAATTCATCACTATCAAAATTTGAAGTTTTTGTATGTTTTTCTTCATAGTTTTCTACTTCAAGTTTTAACTTCAAATCTTGAACTTCATCACTTAAATTTTCTGCTGCTTTAGTAAAATTTAAATCAGTTGCTACTCTGACATTAGCACAACAGTAAGAATCTTCAACTTTAATTTTAGTTTTCAAAACTGAACTTTGTCCTTCTACTTTTTCAAAATTTTTATCAACAATATTTTTTTCTTCTGATTCAGATGTTTCTGACAGAGTACTATTTTCTGATTTAACACATTCACTCTGGTCCTTTTTCTCTTCTTTTACTTGAATTGTGGAATTACTTATGTAGTGAGAAGTGTCCTGATCTGACTCTGATGAACTCTCTAAAACTTTCGTTAAAGGCGTATCCAAACTTGCATCAACTTCATCATGCAAATTGTCCTGAAGTTCTGCAGTTTTAAGTGATTTGATGTTAGCAACTAAAGCATCAAGTTTCAAACGACGAGCTTGAATATTTTTAGAATTGTGTTTACTAGAAAAACCTTGACCGATTTGAACAGTTTTATCACATGTTACCGATTTTGAATCTGTAATTTGCTGATTCTGTTTTTTATCTGACCCGCCATCTTTTAAACAGGATGAGGAAGCAGGTTCTAGAGGTTGTACATGAGATTTAATGTAAAGTTGTCCAGTTCCATTGTTTTCCTGCTCAATTTCAGAATCAGCTATTTTAGACAGACTTTTGTTGTCACATTCGAGTTTCGTAGCAACAGATTTTGGAACGTTATCGTCTTTTGTGAATTCAGATTCTTCCTCCTTCCCAGAATAATCAAATCCTACACTGTCCTCCTCTGATTGATCACCTAAACCAGACTGATTCTCAATTGTTTCATTTTCATTTGAAGTTTCCTTTTCTGATGTTTTATTTTCAAGTGATGAGTCTTTCACTATTATTTCTATTTTATTTAAATTTACTTTTTCCGTTCTTTTATTTTCAAATGAAGAGTCTTTTACTATTATTTCATTTTCATTTAAAGTAAGAATTTCCAATGCTTTATTTCTAAGTGACAAGTCTTCAACTTTTATTTTATTTTTATGTGAAGTTTCCTTTTCCAATGTTTTGTTATCAAGTGACGAGTCTTTCACTATTATTTCACTTTCCTCTGAAATTTGTTTATCTGATGTTTTATTTTCAAATGAGGATTCTTTAACTAATACCGGACTTTCATTAGAGCATTCTTTGTCTACAAGATTAACACTAGATTTAGAAATGTCATCATCTAAACATTTTTCTGAATCCCTTTTAGAACTTTCATCTTTCTTCTGAGCACTAATACTGCACTGTTCTATATTACTAACAATCTGATGTTTTAAATGTTCTAAACATGGACCAGACAGTAACTTGTCATTGGTTGACCTATTACTCACTGACAGTAACTTGTCATGGCTTGACCTATTACTCACTGACAGTAACTTGTCATCGCTTGACCTATTACACACTGACAGTAAATGTTCATGGCTTGACCTACTACTCACTGACAATAACTGTTCATCTCCATGCTCAGTAACGTTAACATTAGTGTAATCATGAGTTACAGAGATGTTTGATTGTTTGTCTGTTGCCCTACTGGTTGGCTGTAACACACAGTTCTTATCTTCATTGGAGCTTTCTAGACTTAAAGTATGTTTGTTTGTTTGACAACAGTTAGTTTGCTGCACAGAATTGGGGTCCTTTTCAGTGTCTTTGTCACTATTTACATTTAAAGATTTCTGAATATCTTGAGTCTGATCCAATTCTTCTTTTATTAGCACATTGTTGACACGTTCTGCATTGTTACAGGTATTGGCAATTACCTCTTCTTTTTTGGCTTCATCTCCCTGCAATTATAAAAAATGTATTGAATACCTATAGATATAAAATAAAGAGATGTGGTATGATTACCAATGAGACAAATATTCACCAGAGCCAAAATGATGTAGATGTAAGAAACTATAGGTTACCATGGTTACTGTACAGCCTTCTTCAACAATGAGCAAACCCCATACCATGGGATACCATGGGATACCCTGTAAGAAGCTATAGGTTACTGTACAGCCTTCTTCAACATTGGGCAAACCCCATACCATGGGATACCCTGTAAGAAGCTATAACATGTATAAAAAACTCTGACATAACAAAATATGAAACATTTCAAACCAAAAAACTAAATGCCTGATTTATAATAAAACAGTAAACAAAAACAAATATGAGACAGCTATCTTCAAAACAACCAGGTACAAATGTATTTTATAGGTATTTCACTAATGCTTTTACATTAACGTACTTATACAGACTATAACCATGATTGATTGATTATTTGGTGCTTAAAGCCACTATTAACACTATTCTGCTATTTTGTGGCAGTCAGTTTTTATTGGTGTAGGAAGAAGGAGCACCCAGAAAGAACCACTGACCTTCGGTAGGAAAACTGACAGATTCCTAGTCAATTAAGATTGGAGTGGAGCGCACCTGCCACTTGCAGGATTAAAACTCACAACCTCACTGTTGACAGGCTAGTGATACAGTATGACAGTATTACAAAATGTACGACTACTTAGACCACTCGGCCACTGAGGACCCTGACTTTACCCATATGCACGATAACTATGATAATTCACAAGAATATTGGTATCTGCGTCTTTAATGGTACTTTTTAAGCGTTGAATACCATATTAAACTAATTGTTGCAAATTATTTATTTATGCAACTTTCATGAGAAGCTAATTAAGGGCAATATAAATCATCAAGAATATGTCAAATTAAATGGATATTGTTTTGTATGACTACATCTAAAAAGTTTAAAAAAAACGTATCTGTGAAGATAAAGAGAAATGGATAATTCATAAATAAAACACAACAGTTATATGGAAATACCACTGAGGACTATCACTGTAAATTATCATGGGTGTCAGTCTCTTGTCAGTACTGTAAATTCTGAATAAATTTAAATATTAAGTAGTACATAGATTGCCATCTAGTATTAAAAATATTATAGCAACATTTTTGTAGTACTGGTTCTTGTAAAAAGTCAATTCCTTTTTGTTTTCATTTACTTTTATATATTTTTTAGAAATTCCATAAATCTAATTCATAATTGCTAAGGTGAGACAACTGAAACAAGCTTCATACATGTACATGTTTATCATCTGAGAAATATGGACTTCATTGTTCAAAACCCAACACTTTCTCAAATTAGATTGGTGTCAATTAAAAGAGGATATAGAGTACATTAATATTTGTTTCAGACATGTACAAAAATGCTCATTCTTTTTTGGTTATATTATTTATCATGTTTATGCAATAGAATCAGTCTTTATCCTGTATAATTTATAATGTATTGGTTTCTAAAAACAAAAATCTGTCGGTAAAATTTAAAAGTTTCTTTGTTGTCAACTTTATTTTTAAATCACAACTGCTTTAAATTCAACCTTCCAAAAATCAGTTCATTAAGTTCAACAATGTTCATTTGTTATTGTGGTCATATATATTCATTTCTTTTTGCTATTAAACTTTTAAAATAAATTAAAACATTGTAAAAAAAATGTTCTCTTAACCACCCATACATTACATTTATAAACCTACATCTTTGAACATTTTAAATGTCCATTAAAGGTTACTCTTCGGTGGGATGTTTTTACTTTTTCATAAACTGATGAATTGAAGTCACAGTTCAGTTGAAATGAAATCTATTGTATCCTGTCAAAAATGAAACATCATAACTGGTGCGAAAAAATAATAATGGGTTTTATAGATATAAAATTACAACAGATACACATATAACTTTATACCTTGAGGGGTTTGATTAAAATGGACTGGAATAATATTTAATTTAACATGACTTGTATACAACAAATTTTTATCTTATAAACCTTTAAGAGTTAGATAATTTGGTACAGATATGAAATTATAAATTTGAATTTGTACTAGGAGAATTATAGATTATCGTTGATAATCTCAACGAGATTGATTTTCTCGCTTGAGCTGGTACGGCGAAAGTGAGAAAAGCAATCGAGTTGAGATGACCAATGATAATCTGTTTATCGCTATTTTACCTATGACGACGTTGTCAATTTCATGTCAATTTCATTAGCAACGCCACATGCTCCTATAGTTTCTAGCAATAATTTTTCATATCACTCGACTCCGCTACGATTTTGTAGGTAGAGTTATACCCCTTAGACATTCAGATTATTTTTTACTTATACATGTAATGGTAAAAAAGTCTTGTTTACTTCTACTCTTGAATACATTGCTCTAATGGCGCGATTAATTGTCTGTCAATAATAATTGTCTTTACTATTCATAAAAGTATAATTTCATGGACAATGAAAATCTCATTTGTCTGTTATCTTCAAAATACTGCTCATTTGCAAGTCTCCAGGGAGTTATTTTTGAAGGCCTTTATGCAGTTACTTAACAGCTGTGCACAATAGATTTCTTTGCTTTGTTCATGAGATAAAAGGTTGAAAGTAATTAAAAATTAATTAGCAAAACAGAAAAATTCTGTTTAGGCAGGTTTTGACCACCCAAAACTTGAGAATTTAAGGGGTGGGAAAAAAAGACTTGTATAAGTAAATTTTTGGAGAAGATAAAGGGGAGATAATTCAAACCTTGAAAATAAAATAAAAATCTTGCAAATTCACTAATACAACTTCAAGTAAATAAAAATTACTTGTATAAGTATTACCCATGACTGTTATACATGTATTCTGATCAAATTACACAAATGAAACCATCATCAGTAAATAAAAGGAAGAAAGAAAAAAAGAAAAATTTGCCAGTATATTCAGAAAGTTGAATGTGGGCAGTATATGGAAGAAGAAGAAAAAAAGAAAGAAAATTCATTAGTTTACAAATTTTTGCAGTGGAAAAATTCTTTTATCCTCATGCAGATCAGTGTTAAATAGGACTTTCCAATCAATAACTATAATTTCAAGGTCTCTGCATGATCTTGATGATAGCAACATCAAGCACAGTTTGTTGATGTTGCGAATTGAGGGATGGAAGAGAGATTTGTGTGAGCATCACTGTATGCATGAGAAGGCAGATCCCATAATTAACTAAAATAAATTATTCAAAAATGGAAAAGGCTTAGGTTGTTGTTCCTCATCTCGTTCAAAGGACACCCTTCTCTTTGTTAAAACTGCAAGCATATATAACATGCAACTTGACATATTAAACAGTACACACACTAAGTTCTGTGAATTTCTATACACACACACATTTCATTTGAAAACTTTGAATACACTGCAACTTCCCTGAGGGAAATGACAGTTTTCCTATTTCAAAAATTTACAAATCCATCCAAATTTTGGATTAAAACATATGACACAAGTACACACATTGAACATGTACAAAAACTAATATAAAGTCAATTCTAAGTGCACTAAAGAAAGAAAAACAAGCAGCATTACATTGTACAAATATTTCAAAGGACTTTTACCAGACAATTTAATAAAATTAATATTTAATTTGAGCCCTTAGGCCTTGCCACATACAAAGATTAAACTCCAGAACACATCTAATTACAATATTACATAACAGTATCAGTATTTGTATCAAAAAATCATCAAACGTGACCTGGTGACTTAAAATGTAACAAGTACTAAAAACTGTACATGAAGACAAAAAATGTAATTAGTACAGAAAATTGTACACGAGAAGACACGTACCTTCTTCATCTTCCCTGAAGACATTTGTTACGACCACCACATGTACAACACCTGTACATCCGATCAATGAAAATAACATTGTTATGCCTCAATACACATCACCAAAAATAATGTGTAATCCAATAACAAATTCATCTTATAAAATATTTCTATGGCTAATAAATAATAAAACAGAGAATAAACTGAAAAATAACTGAAGCTAGTTTTTATCAACTAATTTAAAAGTTATATCAAATGTTGGAAAAATATATCATACATGTTACAATGTATATATGTACTATTATTGTAAGTTCATTTAATGTAGAAGTAAGTATTTATCATGCTTATCATGTCTATATATGTTACTTATGAAAAAAGTTGTATTGCACATTGAAAGATTGAAATCCTTTTTAACAGTCAGACATACATGTACACAAAATGTACATGTACAAATGTATGTATATTAGGCCAAATTAAAAAAAATATCCTAAATTCTCATTGAGCTCATATTTGTTAATTCAGATCTTATTTTATTTGTTTACCATAATTTTTAAAAGTGTCTAACAAATTCAAAGAAACTAGCAAAAAATTAATTAGCTCTAAAAAGTGGAGTTTGGTAAGGAAGAAAACCTAGGATTTTTTAAAATTATGGCCTTACTCATTCACCAGGCAATATTGCTGCCCAGTTACACATTGTCGTCTAAGGACTGAACAACTCTGATAAAATGATCATGTTTTATGTGTAAAGGACAAATAGAAATCTAAAGAGTAGGTAATGCCAAAATGGAAATATAAAATACTATCTGAATAGTCTGATCATGTATAGTTGATGAACTGTATAACAAAAAGTGTTTTAAACACCTGTTATCTTAATCAGAAAATGTATGCTTTTACATCCCATATTCATATTAAGTTGTAATATACATGTATATGCAAAATATCTTTTCACATCTAACATTAAAGTTCAATTAATTCATATCCAATGTGCAACATGTATTTGGTTGTTCAAGTAAGTTTGTCATTATACATGTATACGTATCAGCCTTGCTACTACATGTACAAATTAAAATTGATAATGTGGGCTTGTGACCGCAAATGCTATATATCAACAGCTACATTATCACTGTATCAGTAAGTTGTCATTCAAGTCTTGAATTACGAATGAAAATCAACAAAAATCAAACTCA